GGGAAATACAGCCGTGGCGTGGCAGAACAGTGTAGTCACCGTTCGGCCTAGGAGGCAGTTAGTTAATTTAATATAAAGATCACATAAAATTAACATATTAAACCTTTATTAGTTCGTTTTTGCTTCTGTACAAAGTTGAAACATATCTAGGGCGCTTCTCTTCTCTATGAAATGACCAGAGTTGGGTAGGTACTCGTTCGTGATTCATATCCGGATTGAAAGACCACTTTAGCCTGTCAAATTAAAGTCTAAGAAGCTTTTTTTAATAATAACGCATACACTTAACATAGCCCCGCACTAGGAAAACCCTGTGTCGCGGTTGCCATGGACACACACATAGACAACCACAAATTACAGCCAAACTCACGAGAGAAATAAATGTAGGCCATACAAATATGTCTCCCGGCCCGGGAATCGAACCCGGGGACCTCTGCGTGGCAGTCCGGTATGGTAACCGTTCGGCCACGGAGGCAGTTTAAAATAATTATTTTTATTAAATTTAGAAAACGCTAGTTACATAGGAATAATTTGGAAGAGAGGGAGAGAACGGCTACCGATGTTGTCTACAGCAAAAATATACCGGTGTTGCTACATTATCCCTTAAAATTTATATTACATTATTTATTTTTTTATATTATTTATTTTACATTATGAAACTTTTTGTTCTGTGTTAAACAGTCCGATAAGTTTTAAACGGTGGAAAAATTCGAAAATTGTATTATTATTTCATTTTAATTGTTATTAAATGTATTATGTTTTAGTCGTAATATATTGAAATTATAAAATATGCGTATCTGTATACTGATTTACTTTGAAGAAAATTATGTCTTAATTCATATTTAAATTCAAATTGTAATTCAAAATAATATTTATTTCATAGGTAAGCATTATTACACTTGAAATCGCCACAATGGTTAAACTCTACCGCTCATTCGTGAGGCAGATTCCCCTGAGAAGAATGAGCAAGAAACTCTAGGGGTTGCTCTTTGTAAATAACATTTACAATATTTTTTTTATTTGAAACATCAGAGATCGAGACTACCTCCATGAGCTAAACGGGTTACTACCACGGATTTTTGTCATCCAAGTACGCGGAAGTTGTATAATACCCTTTAGTATAAAGTTTTTGATTCACCATAGTTTTAAACCTCGTGAAAGGCAAATTTTGTATATCAACCGGAATCTTGTTATAGAAGCGTACACATAGCCCCTTAAATGATTTTTTGACTTTGTGAAGACGACTATCAAGAAAAGCTAGTTTATTTCTATTCCTCGTATTAATGTTCTGTCTGTCACTATTTTTCATAAAGAAATTACTGTTCCTTTTAACATAAATTACATTTTCATAAATGTACTCTGAGGCTAGTGTAAGAATGTTAATTTCCTTAAACTTATCTCTCAAAGATACTTTGGGGCCCAGATTGTAAATTGCCCTAACTGCACGTTTCTGTAGGACAAAGATTCTATTGATATCGGCGGCATTACCCCAAAGCAAAATGCCGTATGTCATTAGACTGTGAAAGTAGCTGAAGTAAACCAATCTAGCATCAATCAAGAAAAGCTTGTTTATTTTTATTCCGCGTATTAATGTTATGTCTGTCACTATTTTTCATAAAGAAATTACGATTTTACGATTTAGGTGTGTACTATGAGCTTATAAATATTAATAAATGATAAAAGAAATAAGTGCGCAGTACCTCTATGACACCTGACGGAACGTGACGATGAGGTTGGCGATGGCTCATGCTAAATAACACCTATTCACTTAGCGGAGTTATTTGTGAAAAATTTCATCCAGGGAATGCTCACATTACTGCGTTCCGTTTTGGAAGGGTAAGGGTGCTGGTGGTTTTATAGGCACATGGGATTTGTCTTATGTCTCAGGGTAACAGGCGCAGTGGCAATTGGCCCCTTAGATATTTGTGATTCAAAGCTCTGAGTAGCACTGCAACTGTTCTGGACAGGTGTGTTCCTGCAAACGTTCCTGCATTTATTTATCTCATGAGTTTGGGTGTAATTTGTGGTTGTCTATGTATGTGTCCACGGCATCCACAATACGGGGTTTCCCTAGTGCGTTATTTATTTATTTATTTATTTATTTACGTTGGGCGCTTGACTAGTGCGTCCTGCCACTTGGTATCATAATAACTTTTATATAAAAAAAGCCGACCTCAAAAGTTCGAGGAATTATTGGCCAAATTTTATTGTAATCGGTTATCAGAACACTAAGGGTGCATGGCTTACATAACCTTTTTGTTATAAGAGTCGCGGAACATAGCCCTTGATCTCATAAACTGAGTTGATCAGGTTAAAAAATTGTAAATTTTATTAATTCCCACCGACAACTCACGCTTCACCAAGTTACGTAAGCCAAAAAGACGTTATTATTTGAAGTTGAATGACGTTACTAGTTGCTAAAATAGTTTTCCTGTACGTATCTCCAATTATTTCGGATTTCCTCGTACTGTTCCAGTACACAAAAAACACTTAATAATAGACTAATATAAAGAAAAACTAATAAGTTCTAAGGCAGCGGCCGCATTCTTCTGTACCTACCTACTTTTTGTTATGTGAAATAGACGAACCTGCCTGATATTCAGCGAAGATGTGACCGAAGACGTTTTTCTTGTAATTGCCCCTCACTAACCTTGTATACCCTTAAATTGTAGCCATAAAGTGTATTTTATTCTTTTGCCTGAGGCGTCGAAATATATCAGATAAAAAAATATTATTTTCATTCCACTAGCTCGGCAAGTCTTTCTTCCTCATTAGCCGCTCACGCGATGCGCTCCTCCTACCGCAAAATGGCGGCTATTTGGTTTCGCAAATTAGAAAAGCATTCAGTTTAAATACAAGTTTTTATAAATAAAAATTATTATTCTGCATTGCTAAATAAATACCCTCCGTACTACCAATAGCAATTAATATTAGTTCTTTTACCTGTTATAACTTCGATATCCGATAAATCGGTATAAAATCATCACCGGCACCTCTAGGTGTGGTACGCGTCTACGGCTGCATGTATCGCGTGAGCGGCTAGAAATCTGCGCGCAAGCGCAAAAGTAGTTTTTTCCACGCTGGTGTAGAAAAGGTTTTTCAAACTTGACGATGGATTGTGGTGCAATTAACTTTTTCTTTCGATGAAAAATAATCATAATGACACGTTCAACTACGCGATTTGTCGTACATTATTTACGTAATATAAACTAATTTTGTGTAAAACTATTTTAATTCGTCGAAGAACTAAACTGATTTGTTATAGTTCAACTGTTTTTCTTTCATCTACCAATTTCCTCGCTTTAGTGAGGTGAAAAATTGTGTGTTTCTTGGCTGCAAAGTTGTTTTGCGTCTCATGTCTTGAAACCCTCGGTACGTTCAGGGTTACCGCAAAAAACATTGTTACTTTAACCTTATATTGACTTATCGTACCATGACGCGCTTAAAGTAAGCTTATTGTAATGTTAAAACTATGATGTTTTATTGGCAGCTTTGTGACTATTCATTCACTCAGTTCGTACTATGACGCGACTTTAACATTAAAGTAATATTGCTCTTATGTCAAATTTAGCAATCTTAAAATACACACATCAAAAGTGTCTAGGGATCGTAAGTGTCTAGGGAAGTACGTTTAAGAGTATTGCTGCAATTAGGGTTAATTATATTAACTTTTTTGTATCGCTATTGATACTTTTTAGTGAGTTTTAACATTTAAATAAGGAATATTGTTTAAAATTCGATAATAAGAAGAAAATCAATTGTCAATGTGGTTTTGTATAAAAATGAGTTATAGCGTTTTGACAAAATCATTACAATATCTGCATCGGAACCGAAACAATTTACATTATTATGGAGCGGACGCAATGGAAACAATATTATTTTCGAATTTATGGTCTAAATATTGATTTGTAATGCTTCAAAGTTATGTTGAACTTATTTATTTTCATAAATCTCTTCAATATTTTGTTTATTTTTTATGTAATAGTTACGATCTTGTGAAACGCAAGATCGTAAACTGCATTGTTTAATAGTAGTTTACGATCTTGCGTTTTATTGTGTGACAAAAAATGACCCCATCATCAGGCAACAAGTGCAACATAGTAACATAATTAACAAAAAGAGCTTCGTTGACAACCAACACACATAGCACGCTAAGAAAAATCTATCATGTCATAAAAATTGTATAAATAGTAATAAGAATTGTAAATATACTCATTTATCCACTACCATTTTAACTCGTCATCCTGCTTAGTACTACCCGCTACTCCTCTCACTGTGGCCAAGACACCCTTAGCCGTCAGTAGATCGATCTTGTGAGTCTGCTTGACCGGCACTGAGAATACCATTCCAGTACACGTTGCACGATGTGTACTTCCTTATCTCCTTCCAACCTTCCGTTTGTCACCTTAGGTCTCATGGTGACAGACTTCCCGTTCATATCTTGCATATATATTTCTCCGTCTATATATTATGGTTAGGTTAGGCTACACACCGTTAGGTTGTAGGGCTACACTGTTAGATAAATTCATTGGAACGACCCCTGAGGTCTCACCGTCAGGTTTCATAGAATAGTTTATATTTTTATCTTAACTTTACCGTAATTTCATGCACAGCAGGCGGTTGGTATTTGCTGCATACAACACCACACACTACATTGACAGACAAGCGCTACCACCACATTAATAGTGAACCGCACGCTGTTCAGTCGGTTAACGAATAGAAGTAGAATATTGTTTCAAATTTGAATGAGATCGCTACTGAGGAATCTCCTTTCCAACAAAAAATAGTATCATTGGAATCAGTTCACAAATGTTGGAGGAAGCGCACATATAAATAAATAATACAATCAAATTGAGAACCTTCTCCTGTTTTGAAGTCGGTTTAAACCAATGAGTAGCAGTCGCGAAAACCTAAAAACGTATTCGATATTGTTATTGCTATTATATATCCTTATAACAATGTCTTAAACAATTCAAGGGGAATAAAAACTCTATTTATTACAGGTACTCCCCTCGCAATAACAAAACCGCACTTCCTAGACATGGACCCGGCAATGTACTCTCGCATAGACGGCATGAAACCGGACGAGAAATACCGAGGATGGATCAGTGTGGAACCGGTGAGTAGTGAAGAGCTAAAAACTCTTTAACGTCACTTCCATTCATCAATAATAAATAAATTCATTGAAGACGTGTACCACGTTTTGATGTAATGTGTTCGGACGCAGAAAGACAGTTGGGCAGTGTAGCCAGCACACTACAGACTGGGTTGTATAACAGTACATTGGCCGTTCCTTCGTCGAACAAAGCGACATTACCATCTACTTAAACAGTAAAGCTCTTTAAATTTAGATTAAAAAAATAAAATAAGTAATGCACACACACTAGGGAAACCCCACAATGCCAGTGTCATGGACACACACATAGACAACCACATATTACACTCAAACTCACGAGAGAACCTCCATGACCGAATGGTAACCATTCGACCATGGAGGTAGTAAATCAAACTTTTCATACAAGTACACCAATTCTTCTCACTGCGTAGTTTTTAAGTTCTCTGTATAATTTCAAAACGTCTCATGTGGTCGCTGTATTCCAATGTCACATTCCACACTTGATTCATTCTTCCGCTACATGTTCCCAAACCACTTCTTAATTTAAAAAAATGGCAGTTGAATATTAGTTCGATGGATAGCCACTGTTAAGCCACTACTCCTAACTTTTAGCAGAATACCAAGCGTACAAAATCCTGCTGTTAACACACATTTAAAATTAGCAGACTTCGAGGCACGGTCGCGGTTAACTGAGATAATTAAGTCATCAACCAGTTACAGCACAAAAGCACAAAAGTTGTTGATCTAAATACCTTTTACTAATTAACTTAATTTACTAAAAAAATATTCCAATTAACGCTAAATATGTTTAACAAAAGATTTTATTTTCTTTGTTACTTAGATAAGTTAAAAAGGTAGACCTACGGTAAATAGTATAGAATTTTGGCATTGGTAAGCTGAGAACGATCGTATAGTCAAGATCACGTCAAGCTAGACAAATATATATAAGATTTAAATTAAACTCTACGCCGCTTACGGTAAGAACCAATTTTAAAACAAACGTCTCAACGATACTGGCCATTAATTATTTTAAATTATACAAGACCCCCTTATCAACATTTGAAATACAATTATGTCTTCTCAAATCATTGCTCGGTGGCCATGTTTGTTGTGGCTAAATGAGTGAGTTGTTGGTCGGTAGACGACTGATTTAAATGCAATTGGGAAACTAGTTTATACTGATTTGATATTCTTGTCTATGAAAGTCGGAAGAGAATTTGACATTGGCACGTTTGATGACTGTGACCAACTCTATGTCGTTTGAAAACCGTTCAAACAGTGACTGGGAGAAGTGAGGAAATGTATTTGATTTGACTTCAAAAGGAAATTCTTCGAAATTCTCACTCATTCTCAATTCGTCTGTATTTTTTTTGTGTGTTTTGACATATCTGTGATTCTTTTTTATTGGAAAGGGGGTACCTCGTAGTTCTTCTTCTTAGCGTGCCGCTTCTCTGCGAATGTTGGCGACCATCATGGCTCTCCTTATTTTTGAAGCTGCCGAATGAAAGACGGAACGCGTGCTAAGATCTTTTTAGATTTTCCTTCCACCACAACTACGCTTTCCTTGGATTTCCCCTGCATTATTAATTGGAGAAGCCGGTATCTACTACCCCTCATTACGAGGCCAAAATACTGCGGCTTTGTTTCTTTTACAGGTATGTGTATTTTTTCTTTTCCAATTTTTTCCCCGTTCGACGTAGAAACTCAACATTGGTGACCCTTAAGACCCAAGCTATGCCAAGTATACCTCTATCCAGCCACATCCTAAAGAACTCCAATTTTGAGCATACTTAGTGTTTTGAGTATACCTCTGTAGTTGTCCCCTTCAAATTTAACGAAAATATTCCATAGGAAATGAAACTATTTTTCCGGATTTAAATCGCGTGTATTTGTTTTTTTAAACAAGCCGACGTTTCGGGCCCTTTACAGGTCCCATGGTCACGGTTCAACCGGACACGGAGTCAACCATGACCATGGGATCTGTAAAGGGCCCGAAACGTCGGTTTGTTTGAAAAAACAAATATACGCGATTTAAATCCGGAAAAATAGTTTCATTTCCTATGTGTAACAATCGCGAAAACCTAAGAACTCGAAAATATTCCACCTTTAATAGTGGTAAGTTAGGAGATGAATTCGGCTTATTAGAATTGACTCACTTTCCGATAACCAATTTCAATAAAGCTTGGCAAATGTATGTAATTCCACAAACTTTTGAGGTCCTGTGTTTGCTTCCCGCTTGTACGCTAGAACTTAAAACATGTTTATAAATATTTATTTTGTCTTTAAAATTTTCCGTAGCAGTCATGAATGTCAATCCATTGAGAATTCCGGGTACGATACCCGGTTTGTTGAATAGTTTTTACTCAAATTTTAACTACGTATTCGTCTTAAGCCGTGGTAGCTTAATGGTTTGACCTACTGCCTCTCAAGCAGAGGGTCGTGAGTTCGAATCCGGCCTCGCACCTCTGACTTTCTCGAAATTTATATGCGATTTGGAAATTCACCATGAGCTTTTCTGTGAAGGAAATCACAGAAATACCATCGTGATGAAACCTGCACGTCAAAGAAGGTTCACAACCCTCGGAAAACGTGTGATGTCCCCATAAGACATTGGCAGACAAAAGCCAAACCACATGCCCGAGAAGAGACCCGTGCCCACTAGTGGGACATATAAATGGGTCGTTAATGATGATGATTCGTCTTTCAAGTCTGTAAAGTAATATTTGTGATTGGAAATGAAACCATTTTTTTATCCATATCACGTATATTTGTTTTTTTTTTTCAAACAAACCAACGTTTCAGGCCCTTTACAGGTTTCATGGTCATGGCTGACATTGACGGTCATGAGACCTGTGAAAATTGGTTTGTTAAAAAACAAATATTAGATCCAAAAAAAATTTGTTAAATTATTATTTTAAATTTGCAAAAGCAGCCGGTAACAAATCTAAACGGTCATCTTTTTTAATGTTTGATCGGTTTCCTCTGACATATAAAATAAATTACATCAATGAATAATTTAGTCTGTTAAGAGCTATGCAAAAAATGTTTGATTTGTATGATAATTAAAAAGAGTATAATTAACTTTGATAGTTTTATACTAGGCCTTAAAACTGAGTAAATGTGGATTATATAAGTATACTAATATTAAATTAATTATAATATAATTTGACCTGAAAACGTGTTCGGAAATGCTTCTGACACACACCGGCCGCTGTCCACGACACCTCGCTTCTCTCGCTCGGCTCGTGCTGCTTTTCCATATACGTCACTGTCTTTTTAGAAGACGGAGTAAAATGACACTTGCAAGGTTGCCAGTTTTTATAAAATTTTAAATAGTCGACAGTTTTCTCGATAGAGTGTGAAAGAAGATAAAATTGTGCCAGCAATGACTGGGTTTATGAATATTATGAGATTATAATGACTACTAATTGCGTTATTGCCATTTTTATTCTTATTTTGACAGTTAACCGACTAGTATCGAAATACATTTTTATACCTATACATTTTAACAAGAATAAGCAGATTCGATTATCTAAATTAAATAAAAATGAAACTCTTTAAAATACGGAGAGAATTTGTAGTTTTCAAAGACATCATTCTATCGTTCAGTGTACATAAGTATGAACTTACAAAAATTGACATTTCATTCCTATCTATTCCATTTCATGCTATTTATTCTAATGTTCAGTCAAAGTCAAAGTCAAAGTTGTTACATTTATAGGTGTTAAATAATTGGTATAGATCAACATGAACCCTAGTCAAATCTAAAATCAGAATATAATTTGTGTTACAATTTATGAGAATTTAAATGAATTAAAAATATACATTTATGCAATCGTCAAAAGGTCATATTAAATAAATGTATTAAGTATGTCATATAATAATAAATTACAACCTAAAAAATGGTTCAGGTCAAAACATTCTAGAATTATATTTAACATTAGTCAACTTAATTTCTTTTTTTGTAATAATTAGTTAAGGTAAGATGTTTATTGCGAACATGTGGTAAATATGATGTACATTTAAATTTTCCAGTATCCACACCTATGCTGGTTGAGTATCGCCACAGACATATATCTAATCGCAATATAGTAAACATGAATGTAATCATTAATTCTTTAAAAACAAAAACAAAACATGACAAATATAAAATGCCTACTCAATTAACTCGAATTATTAATAATTAATAACAACTCAAAGTAAACATTCACAAAATAATGGTTAGTATCTCAAATCAAATATTCACATATTAATAATAAATCCAACTTAATTTAACATTCACATTATATTATCATATATTATTTTTTATTATTATTTTTCAATATTAAACTATTTATTTTAATTTTATTATTTTTCTTTTCGTTAATTTTTATGTATACTATATCAAATTGATAAAAACTCTTGCACCAAATAGAAGCTTTTTAATAATAAATCATTTTGTAATGCATGTTTAAATTTATCTATATTAGTTTCTGTTTTTATATTGCAAAGGGCCCTGATTGAACTAAATTTAATTTTGAAGTTGGGGGGGCTAATCGTTGGCGTGAACGCAAATTATCTGGCCTATCGTAATGTAAGAAAAGGTACATGTTTTTTTTTGACAAAAATACTTATTTCTAATATATATAAGGATGGGAGGGTGAGCACTTTTCTTTGATGAAGAATGACCGGCAGCTTGTCATCTCGTCTATGTTGACAATTATGCGGAGATATCGTTTTTGCAACCTAAATCATTTTTGCGTATCTGTGCTGTTTCCCCATAAAATAATGCCATACTGTAGTCAAGCATGGGCATGATAGTCGATAGAATATTTCTCGACTGCAATAACAAGCTGCTCGCAATCGGGCAACACTTTTACGCAATGAACTGACATTTTACTCCGTCTTCAAAAAAGATAGACTATAAGGGTGAGGCCAGACGAGCGTAATTTTGTGAGTTGCGCAGTTTGCGCTCGACCGAAATTTGGTTGGAGCGCCAGACGAACGTATTTTATTCAGCTTATAGGTTTTAAGCGTTTATACTGGGTGATTGTGTCGTAATAGTGTACTGGATCCATTGACTTACAAATAAATGGACGACGGGTCTAATACAAAAACCACGAAAAAAATGTCCCAAGTCAACCTATTCGAAATTTAAATTGTAATGTCATCGCAGTATCGCGCTGTCAGTAGAACAAATGAAGACTAAAGCGAAGTTTGGCGCTCTGTATACGATTTTAGGGCCTTACAAGTGCGGACACTTTTTAGCGCGGACCCGACGTCCATATAATTGTAAGTCAATGACTGGATCCATTAAAACTAGTATGCATTTATGAAGCATTAGAAGACGATGTTAAAAAAAGAAAAAGAAGCTGGATACATCCACTCAATATGAAACGATTAAAGTGTGAACAGTTTCATATATTATATACAAGTTTATATGAACATCCAAATCAATTTGTTAAGTACTACCACATGCCAATAAATGTTTTTCGAGAATTATTAAGCCTAGTAAAAACTTTTATTACAAAGTCAGATACAAATATGAGACGAGCCATCACTCCAGAGGAATAATAACAATCAAGTAAGTTGTTCAATTATTTATATTTGAATCTCTGTATCGAACATTTCCGCAAGAAACGTCTATACTCACGCGCATCCTATACCAAAGTGACCCCTTCCCTCAAACCCTTCCTCCACCCGCACCAGGCCGTGCGTCGCATGATGCGACCGAACGTCCGTCGTCATTACGCCCGTAGGTCGGCAGATAATTAATTTGGCGTCGTCGTGTGAAATAAACCGCGCTTTTATATGAACCCGAATGCAGCGTAAACTACCCAACTCAAACTACGGGACTCACAACTCACAAAATTACGCTCGTCTGGCCTCACACTAACCTTTTTGTTGTTAATCCGGGGGAATCTGCTTACAGATACCCCGACCCCGCGGGGGCAGAGCCGGGGTTATGTGGGACTGGGCTGAACCCTGAAGGGTTCAGCCCAGGGTACGCTGTTGCACTCGTCCGCGCCCCCCCGAGAAGGGAGACACATCGGTCCCCCGACTCCGAATGTGAGGCTCGCCGAACACCCGCGAGCCTTCCATCCCGGGCCCCTTTATGCTGGGCAGTGAACTCCCCCGAGTCCGCCCCCGCGGCGGATCTGATATCTGATGACAGGCTCCGCCGCAACACCTAACACGCTTCCGTGCGGACTCTCCGAAGTCCCTTAGAGCGCCCACCATGGGCCAACCGCCCACATTCGGCCGCGGAGGATAGGACGAGCGGCAACGACACACCGACACGTCTCTTCCCCCGCGGCCCCGCCGCCACTGCATCCTCGAAAGCGGTGCAGCCCCGCCAGGGTCGCGGAGGACAGGACACGTCTCTCCCCCCGCGACCCTCCTCCCAACGCGCATCCGCGCAGTCCCGCTGACCAGACGAGACCCGCGCGGAACGCTCTCCTCCTCGGGCCAGCCTATTACCATCGGCCGGCCCCGTGGGTTCCTCTTAGCATCACAGTGGGATGAAATCGACCACGACAAGGCGGGAAGCCCTTCGGGGGGGGCCTCACACTAACCTAATTTAACCTACTGAATGGAGGGCGCAACCAGGCAACCAATATTTATCAGGAGATCAATATCCAAAGATATACTGGTTATAAATATCATCAATTGTTAAAAGAAAAGACCAATAGTAAAAAAAAGAAGATCAACTATTATACTTTAATACCAAATATTAATTTAGTACGTTTAAACATAATGATGGTGTTACCGTGAATGCAGTTCGTTCGTTATTTGGTTCATTAATTGTTCGATCGGAAAAATTAATATATACATATGAAACATAAAAAAAATATCGCTTATTTAAAAAAGTGTGCATTTACATCACATAATATTATCCCATTATTTAATAATATTGCTACTGGTAATTTTGTCTTGCTTCAGAAAAGCGGCATGCAGGTGGAAACTGAGTTCTCCCTGCAAATGAACCTGCTGATTAAGGACATCAGCCACAATGCGAAGACGCGTCACTTCTCCGACATGATTTTGCCTATCTGCCACTTGAAAATTGTGAGTTAACATACTTTTCATATAATGAGGTTCGCTTTATTAAGGAATGCTCAAAATTAAGGTAAGCTTGAACTTCGCGTATTGGTTAGTGTAGTAACAGTACAGACCCTTGTGAAAGCACTCGTCCAGGGAAGTACTGCCACCTTATATTTCGGCCGCCAAGCAGTAATGTGAGTTCCGGTTTGGAAGGGTAAACGTACTGGTGAAATCACACATTGGCACATGGGCCTTGTCAACTTATGTCTCAGGATGACGGACGCAGTAACATTGCCCATCAGGTCTTTGTAATTTAAAGCTCTGAGTGGCACTGCAACTGTTATAATAATAATAACGTACACACTCATAGCCCCGCACTAGCGAAACCCTGTATCGCGGGTGCCATGGACACATACATAGACAAACACAAATTACACCCAAGCTCACGAGAGAAACAAATGTAGGTATAAATATTTCTCTCAGCCGGGACCTCTGCGTGGCAGTTCAGCGTGACAGCTAGTTATGGACAGGCGTGTCGCTTATCACCAGGGTCACAACTTGTTCGTCCCGTTACTTGATGTCATAAAAAAGGGCATTTCGGAGGCTGTCAGCTTACCGTCGTTTTTGTAACTACAACCATTGTTATTGGAATTTCAACTATAATGTCATAACGTTGCGATATATTCCTATACGTCACGTAAAAATTCCCAATGGGCGCCGGGCCCTAGAGAGCAGCTTTCGAAATTGTCTATATTGAAAAATAAAACTGTTATGTACGTAGAAAATTTAGTTTTATTATTTCCTAACTAATTAATGATATGACTTTTTAATGATACCCTCTCTAAGGTAGTTTATTGGTTTAATGCTAACAATTTATTGCTAAATGCCAAGAACACAAAATGTGTTAAATTTGAATTACCTAACGTAAAATCGACTAGTCCAAGCATAGAAATAAACGGAGAAAAGTTAGACTTTGTTAATAAAGCAGTCTTCTTGGGAGTGACCTTAGATAGTAAACTTCAAGACTATTAGAACTCCTACCAGGTCATCCAGAAGAACGGTAGTTTTTTCTGATAAAATAGGCGTAGGACTAGGCCACCACCTAAGTAACCACTTAAAACAAAGGGTAGTCAACTATTGCTATCCAGGAGCTACTTTTAGTCAAATTATTACACTGTTAAGTGGTTGCAACTTTGATAAATATACAACAGTGATTCTTATAATAGGTGATAGTAATAACATTAGTAAAAAAGAAGTAAATAGTAGCATTGACGTGTTCTTCAGAATTCATGAGAAGTGTGGGTGTAAATTCATACTAAGTGCATTCGCTTACTGCTCTAACCTAGACATCGCTCGTAATAAGTATATATATAACATAAATTCGCACATTCATAATTTGACTTGGCGTCATAGTGACGTTATATTTTGTTTTGACATTAATAAGTTCGTAAGGAACTTCAAACTTTTTGAGGATAATTTACTTTTACCCATAAGGTATCTGGGACATGTGGCTAGTTTACTATCTTTTAATATTAAGGACGCTGTTATAGAAAATATAACACAGTCCCACGACAATGCTCCTACTTTAAGTAGCAACATAGCAACAGTATACTTTTTACTAACCATAATTTAAACTGAAAAACATAGTAAACTTCAATGGTTTCCACATATATCTTTCCTGGCCAGCAGATTAAGCTCCGCTGCATACGCAGTCCGCAGAATACCGATGTTAGTACTGCTAGACTAGTTTACTTTAGTTAATTCCATAGTATAATGTCCTACGGGATTCTCATGTGGGGTAAAGCGGCAGATATTCAAACCATATTTGTATTGCAAAAACGAGCGATTCGTTCTGTGTACCGTCTAGGCTCTCGGATTTCTCTCAGAGAAAAGTTTAAGGAGACTGGTATCATGACTGTGGCATCACAGTACATTTACTCAAATATTTTATATGCCCGTAAAAATATACATAATTTCAATAAGAAAGAAGATATCCATAATATTAACCTTAGAGCTAAGTCCAAACTCATGGTACCACGATTTCGTTTAACCAAGGTAAACAACTCTGTTATGGGGAACTGTATACGTTTTTACAATAAGATTCCGGAGCATATATTAAGTTTATCATTTCCTAAGGTTAAAAACTACATTAAAAATATTTTGATCGAAAAATCATATTACAAAATTGAAGACTACGTGTTAGATAAAGATGTATGGAAAGACGACATGGCTCCAGAATCCACACAAATTTGATTCAAAGTGTATTCCATAGCATTTAAGTTTATTTGAAAAGAGCAATCCCTAGAGTTTCTTGCTCGTTCTTCTCAGGGAGGTCAGCGTAGTGAACGAGCAGTAGCTTAAATGTGACATTTTCAAGTGTAAATTTATTTTATCTATGGAATAAATAATCTTTGACTTTGACTCCTAATGTACCTTTTTTAACGTCTCACAATATATACAGTCAGTGTGCGATCGTCCGTGTTTCATTTAATATATATCGGAAAAACTAAACATGTCTCGTGCCAATCAAACACAATAATTCCAGCAACACGTCTAACTAATATGTAAATGAAAGAACAACTTCCACTAAGATTTGTTTGATAACAGTCAGTTTTTTTTTCATTATTTGTGTAATATAATTGTCGTTTATAGGTTATGAATATTTAAAAAAGGTGGCATGTAATTAACATTTTTTTTCTTTACTTATTATTCATATCTGATTTCAAACTAGAGAATTCCTACCATGAGTACCAGCAATTGGAACTAACTCGGAGGCTCTACCAAAGACACCCAAAGCAGCACCAATTGCAATGCTACTTAGAGCTTTAAATCACAAAGATCCGAGGGGCACTGCGTTGCGCCAGTCAGCCTGAGACTGCCTGTAATTTCATCAGCACCCTTACCCTTCCAAATCGGAACGCAGTAGTGCTCACACTACTGCTTGGCGGCAGAATTAGTAAGGTGGCAGTGGCAGGCCTGGACGAACTCCGGGCGGCGTCGTGGTGAATGTTCACTGATCCCACGGCGCCGACTCAACGAGACGACACAACAAAGGCGAGAGGGAAACCCGGGGGGGTTTTAGTGGGGTAGGCACTCCAACCTGGAGGGAGAGTCCCCACATAACCCCTGAGTCTCCCTGAGCTCTCCATAAAGCCTGGGGTATCCATAAAGATTTCCCCACCGTCAAAAAAAAAAAAGGCCTGGACGAACTCTATCCTAAGGACCTCCACTGCTACTGAAGAAGTCCTTAAACATTGGTATTATAGTAATAGAAGTCTGTACCTCAAAAAAGTACAAAATAACTGAAAACAATTATGCATTTACCTATCTATTTATAATTATTGTTTTTAACCGACTTCAAGAAAGGAGGAAGTTCTCATTTATTTAAATTGCAACCGTAATTTTGATGATTTTTTTTTATTGGAAAGAGGGTACCTCAGTAGGGGTCCCATTTAAATTCGAAGAAAATATTCCACCTCTAAGTTTCGGTTTCGCGCACTTTCCGGCAACCGATGTCAACAAAACTTGGCAAATAGATGTAATTCCAAAAACTTTTAAGGTCGGTTTTTTAATAAAAAAAGTTGTTTATTTTCAGGTTCAGCCGCCTTTACCCGAAGAAAGCAAAGATATCCTGAACAAAATGTATGGCATGGGATCTTATTTATTTACTAGCCTCAAAATCTTCTTATTTATACTTACATTTATATCTTGGTATAGCTTCTTCAAAATACTTAATAGAAATAAAATAACATCGAAAGATGTTTTAAAAGGTATGGAGAAAGGAATGTTCTACCATAGGGCAGATACAGAAAAAACAGTTGGCAATAGAGACGTGCCGTTGATGGCATCAGAGAACGGTTATAACAATAATGACAAAGTTGATGCAAGTAAAATTGTACAATTTAATAATTAATTTCACATATCACTTATTGTCATAACGAAAATGTTAATTAATATTTAAGAAAACGTCTGATATAAACATTTAGTGTACAGTGTATTTAGTGTATAAGTAAAAAAAGTTGCCATCCGCAATAAAAACAAATATCTTTTATACTAAACACCAGATTACATAACATTGCATTTACCTACTTACTCCGCTGGCTCAGCGGCCTGAAATGGGTCTTCGCCTCCGATACTAGATAACGCCAGTGCGCCCTTTCTTGCGCTGTTTCCTCCCAGTTCTCTGCATCTTTTTCCACGTCGTCCCTCCATCGGTATTCGGGCCGACAAACCTGTCGTTGACCACTATATATATATATTTTTTTTTTATTTATTTATTTATTACATAAAATTATACAAACTATGTTTAAAAACAATGTAACATAAACTGTAGGTTTTCCCGTACATCGTTATATTCGTCGGCGGTAGTCTGACTGTGTTAATAGTAAAGCGGGTAGATTTTTGTTTTGCTCATACCTATGTTTCTTTTGTATTAAGTGCGAATGGTTGGTGGTGTGCGTAGTGTGATTCAACTTGAGTGTGAATGAATAGAACGTCTCATGTAGACCCTTTTCACTGCCCTATAAGCTGGCTTCCTTTCGGGGTGTCCGAGCCACCGGAGAGTTGCGGGCTTGATTTCTCCGATAATATTGGGCTCAGATAAGTTGTCCTCCAGCTTCTGGTTCTTTCGGATCTTTCAGCTATCATCTTCCGTCTGCATTGTCCCAAAATCCTACGGAAGATTTTTGTTTCTGCGACAAGAAGCTTATTCTCTTCTCATTAATGTTATTTTGCCAGTGATATCTCGCGTTCCCTGCATTATGTATTTATATACTTGTATCGCAGGGACTTAACATAAATACGTCTTGTAACTTCGCAATGGGGCACACAGTTTGTAAATAAGTAGTTGTAAAAATAATAAACTATTATCAACATTAAAATGACACTAACATGTTTGTGCGTTATTTAGAAAGTAAATATTCGTAATTTAATTAATAGAAACTATTTTTCATTGTGTGCGTATGCGTGCGTGCGTGTGTGAGTGCGTGTGCTTGTGTGCCTGTGTGTTCATTGTATAGAGTATGTGGCAAAAAAGGCAAAAGACGTGTTTGCAAAAGTGGTTTGAACTGGGCATCTGTAAGCTAATAAATGGTCAAGATCAAAATTATTAGTTTGGGAGCGACGATGCCACACACAGATAGATGTACCTACAAACTAAGAGCACACGACGCGTTGCGTTGGTTCGATGGTTGTAACTACATATAAATTAGAACACTACATGACAAAACGCGTGAGACAAAGCTGAGAGAGGTGGCTGCGGTGCGTAATAAGCGACTGTCGCCGTGGCGACCCCGCAATGCACCGGTATCGCGCGTGTGGCATCGCTCGAAGGCTTCAAACTTGTAACTCCCCTCTTTTGCGTCGAGGATTAATAAACAAAAAAAAATTTGAAATTTTTCTTCCTGGACCTAAAGTCACGTTTTGTTCTTTTTTTTTTCAAACAAAATATAACTAGTTCCATTTACAATACGTAGGAATCGCCAGAGTTGGTACAAATGAAAAAAGTTCAATGGCTTGAATTGTTTTTCACTTGAAATAATGCATTATTTAAATCTAAATAATGTTACAACATTTTAGAATAATTTACTGCTGTCCGATGACGCAAATACCGTTGTATGGTGAACCCACCAAACATGTCAGTTTTTTAGGAGTAAATGCTAATGTAAAATGTAAACTGCAAATGTAAGAAATAAATAATGTGTAATGTGTAATGTGTAAGAAATAATGTGAAGATGACATTTGCCGATAAAAAAAACAATGGTAAAACAACCAAATGCGTTTATTTTATTTTGCTCACAAAATTTTACCTTTTATTGTAAGCAATAAAATCATGACGTGCACATTTGACGTGCGTGTTTGTGTATTATAATATGCCGATTTTTTGTATTTACGCTATATGGTTATTCATAATATCATTATTTTTGTTGAGTGAGATCCACGGGAAACTGGTTTAGTTTAATATTTGGCTACCAACTTTGTTATACCTTGTACAAGCAGCACATAAATATCAGAAATCGTAAACATTCGTGCGTTAAATCGCTATTGCGTCCAATACGTATCTTGAGTTGCATGAGACTGCACAATTTGAATTCTTTGACCGGGGTTGCGCCAATTGTTTAAGAGTCGTTCTTCAGTACATTTGCCAAAAATATTTTCTTTTTATGATACCAAGTAACGGGACGAACAAGTCGTGGGCCTGCTGGTAAGCGACACTCTTCCTTATGACTGCTGCGGCTGCGGCTGCGCCCGTGACCCTGAGACAAAAAGTTGACAAGTCCCATGTGCCTGCAGTTTTACTGACGACAGAAACAGGTAAAGTGGCAGTACTTCACTGGAGGAATTCTTTCACAAAGAGCTCTACTGCTACTAGAACTTTCGTAGATAGACACAGTCGAATAATATTGTGTAATAGTGCCTTTCAGAAAGTTAATTACCAATAAAATATTTTTTTCTCCAAAATGCGCAGTTATTTTGCCGATTTGCGCCGTTTACTAATACATATAAGAAGCTTTCCGCTTATAATAAAGTATGATTCAAAAATAGAACATTGTGCATTTAGAAAAAGGTATTTAAAAATTTCATAACAAAAAAATCTCACACCACTAGAAATTATTAGCCGTATATCAGATACCAGATAATAGAAATGACAGGAGACTAATATACCTTGCTTCGTCACTGACTCAACGTAGGTACTTAAATCGAATTTAATATCAAACGTAACAAAAAGATTTCACGAACTCACGTACGTTACGGAATAATTTTATTATTATTTAGCGTAAAGAGCAAACCTTGAACTGACACACTCCAGAACTAGTTAGCGACTAAGTACTTTTACGCTGATGTGATACTTTATTACGACTACGCTAAAGTTATATAATTTCTTTTTTTCAAAATTGAGTGTGTGTCGTCCAACTTGCCAAAAGCAGTGCACTCGAGCTGAATCCTTTTGCTAATCTCCTTCATTTGATGCTCCTTGCCAAAGGTGTCACTGTTGGAAACGAGATGTTGGAGATTGTCGAGCAATACGTTTATCTTACGGGACATATTTTATCTTTTGGCAAGGAGCATTAAACATTACCAGTACAATTCAAAAATGTTATTAAGGGAAAAAATATTACAACTGTTTTACGGAAATTGTCAATATTCTTAAACTGCAGTTGCATTTAGGAAAAACAGCAAGACTACATATATATTGTTCTAAATTTTCGTTAAAAATAATGTTAATAAATAATAAGTAGCATATAAAAATTGAAGAAATATTAAGTAAGATTTGTCCAAAACCATATGAAACTGGCATATGGGAGCGCTAAACACAAAAGTCGCAAACGACTTAGTGACGCGGTTCACTTTTCAAGTTTGGTAATTATTACGAGAACCACTAAAAAAATGCTGGCGACCCCTGCTGTACATAGCACGCGGCCAATAAAAGCAACATCTAATTAAAATTAAGGTTTAGTAACATTTAATCCTTAACACATCCTGACGTTTATTAGTTTAATTTAAATTTGAAACAATGAAGATTATTAATGTTAAAAATATTACTAATAGTAAGTATTTTGTTAATTATGAAAATTAAATTAAATATTTTAATCACGTATACCTAAGTGCAATCAATTTTTTTTTAATTTACGTTATTGCAGAAGACCTTATTAAGAACTTAATTTTTGGCGGATTAACGAGTTGCATACTTTTGGTTTTGCTGTGTTGTGACGTTATGTTCTTCTTGATAAAATGTGTAAGTATTTAATTTTGAATTACTTTTAAGTTTGTGATAAATAAAAAATATTGTTTTATGAGTTGGCCAACAAGTGCGCGCAGTTTTTATCTTCGGCTAACTTTTTTAAACGAAAAAGAACTTTTTACTTTTAAAATTTTGTTGTCTATGGTTATTTTAAAAATGATATTTAAAAAGATATAGCATTGAACAATATGATGAACCTATACTTAGTGGATTAAAATTAGATTTTTTTTAATGTTTTCCATTTATACTTTAATACCGCTCGGAATTATTGGCCAACTCTGTATTACCGTACTTTGTAAACAAAATAATTAAGGATATCAGCGTAAAAGTAGTGTAACCCACATTTTTTTTTCTACAATATTACTTTAAATAATACTACATAATTATTATATTTTTGCATGCTATTTTCATGTATATAAAAAATTAATAGGTAATAATGATTAGTGTAATAAAATTATAACTAATTTTAAATCACTAATTACACCACTTTTGCGCTTATAACCTGAATTAATAATGACAATACAATGCGTTTGTTATAATCATATCCCAAATTATAATAATACGTGTTAGTCAACTTCAAAATGATTACTACTGAAATAATAACAATGATACTAGAACTTATTTTGGGATTGGTAAAAATTAAAAAAAATATATTTTATATTTGGGTGTTTGATCATATACATTTTAAATTTAATAAATTAAATTAATAAAAATTATATATTAATATTAAAAATATTATAACATTAAATAATTAGTTTCCGCAAAATTTTCTCCATTTGCACGCAGCGAGACGTCCGTTTTTCGTTGAACGAATAACATCGCTTATACGACGCAATTTCTTGTACATTGTCATTTGATTGAAATCTATTTCCAACGTGTAAACCTGTGAAAATATAACTTCAATTCCTACAAATTCCTTGCATGGTGTCATTTTTATTTTTCTCGCGACATTATAGAGAGTTTCCTCGGCTAATTAAATTAATTATCATTATTCCGTATCAACGTCTTAATTTAGTTCAATAATGAACTTACACTGCATTCCTTCAGAGCGAAGCAATCTGCTCTTAGAAAAAAAGAAAGATACAAAATCACAAATAAAACTAATTATTAAAACACACAGTATTCAAAAACAAGGAAAAGAGCACTTAATCGCTTAATTCCAATTGAAATTAAAATAAATTAAAAACATAATCAGTAGGAAATGAAACTATTTTTCCGAATTTAAATCGCGTATATTTGTTTTTTCAAACTAACCGACGTTTCGGGCCCTTTACAGGTTCCGTGGTCACGGTTGACTTTAATCAACCAGTTATATCTAATGTTAATGCAAACCACCCTATTTTTCACTATAGTTACAAAAGTTATTAATTAAATACCTTATTTTTAATTTTACAAAAAAAACATTCCAATTTACGCTACATTATGTTTTACAAATTATTATATTGGTTGAAATTTTATTAAGTTTAATTTATTATTAATTAATAATAGAAATTAGAATAAATTAAAACATATTAATTAGTTCATTTCCTATGTGTAACAATCGCGAAAACCTAAGAACTCTATAACATAATCAGTAGATTAGGATTTATTTTTTTTAGCGGCAGTAGCCGCATTAATCTTTATTACTTGTGACACGGTGTAACAAATGATTAGGTGTAACAAACAATGTTTCTTTTTTTAACATAACTCTAAAACTTAGGGACCCACGTTTTAAATAATCCTAACAGCACGCTTCTTTTAGATACAGATTCTGTTGATTAATGCCGATGGTGTTACCTCAAACATATAGATATTAAAAGTGTTTTTTGCATAAACGCGAACCATTGCAAGGCAAATTACCGCTTGACACCACATCAGGTTGTGACCAAGCGTGTCTAATATCTATTAAAAAAACCAAGCCCCATATTGATTATTACTTACTTATTTACTATTGATTATGACTTATTTTTTCAGTACACAAGTTTCAAGTATGGCTTTTACATGAACTGGTTTATGCACGACAAAATTGAGACAATCCAAATTTCAGTTACTTTATTTAACATAACAAACGCTGACCGATTTATATCAGGCAAAGATTATAAGCTTAAAATGGAAGAGGTTGGACCTTTTACGTACCAGTAAGTACATATATTTAATAGAATATTCTACACATTAACAGAGAAAAGCAGGCAGAATGATAGGGATCAGGATCAATAGGGACCGAAGCGCAGCCGTTTCTTTTTTTTTTAGTTCTGCAAAATTAAACAGTTGAATATTTTTCCAGTAGACTTAAAACAGTGACCTTGACCTCCATAATATCAGGTCGCAGGTCAAAATCAATTTTTGCGCCACAAGACGACCTCTAGTATTTTATTTTTACACGAGCGTTCCGAAAATTTGTTAATATAATTGAGGCTATCATAGCAAAAGTGGTCTATACAAGAAAATAGCATCCAAATATAAAATAATTATGTATTTCTTTTACTACATCAAGCGACGGGACGAACATGACAGTTGCAGTGGCACTCAGAGCTATAAATCGCAAAGATCTGAGAGGCACTGCCATTGCGGCCTCTGTCCTGAGACATACGTTGACAAGTCCCATATGCCTATAACTATACTAGCACCTTACACTTCAAGACCGGAACGCAATAATGCTTACATTACTCCTTGATGGCAGAAATAGGTGAGGTGGCTGTACTTCCCTGAACGAATACTTTCCCAAGGAGCTCTACTGCTACTAAAATATTTAGTATCAATTAAAGTAATATTGTACAAATATATTTAATATGGGTTGCACCACTTTTGCGCTTATAGCCACATTAATTTGAAATGAAACTATTTTTTGGTTCTAAATCAAAAGAAACAACGATTCCTAGTCATATTCATATTTACGTTTCGAGGTCCCTCAACTTAAGAACCTAGAGTCCAAAACAGTGATTTATTTAAAAAAAATAATAATAAACGCAAAATGTATTCATATAAGTAGTTTCATTACCAACGTGTAGCAATGACTAAAACCCAAGAACCAGAAACAATTAATGTATATCATTTCACTTAGATCATTCATTACCTTGATAAATACCTTGGTACATATTAATTTTTAGAGAAACTCGTCTCAACGAAGATGTGGAGATAGATTTAGAAAAAGAACGAATGTATTACACGCCCCAATATGTGTTAGATTTCTTACCAGAAAAATCTATTGGCAATCCTAAGGATTTTAACATCGTCTTGCCAAATATAGTTATGGCGGTAAGCTATTTTTTTTATAATTGATAGGCCATTTAACATCATCTAATAAGTGGAATCCAAACGTGAAGGAACCTAGTGCAGTATTGGTGCAATCGTCGTCCCAGCTACCTCCGTACTGCATGCCTACAAGATGATCTCCGCCTCGTTCGAAGAACACCATATCGTAATGAGGGACTACATGCACTGGACTGCAACTGCTACAACTGCAACCTCCCTTAGGTTTGCCCACTGTGCGACAGAAAAAGATGCCACCAAACCAAAAACGATGACTACGGAGGCCACTTCAGAGCAGAAAAGGGGAGGGAGATATAAGGTTGAATAATTCTTCAGAACGTTCGCCATGGCACATTCGATAAAAGTGCAGATGTTCAAGGTGGGATGAGACCTCGCATCGCCGATAACTCGTGAGATGTGACACAGCAAATTGGCCAAGGCATCGAGTAGGTACTTGGCAGAGCCGTTCCAAAGGTGCGAACAATACTCGACGCGAGATTTGACCTGTGGTTTATACAATAGGTATAACAGGTCAGGTGTTAAAAACGACGCACCTTGTTCAGAAGTCCGAGTTTACCGTTTCGATGTGATTACTGAAATAAATATTATTAATTAGAAGGAAAATTTAAAGGAAAAGGTTTACCATACTTATCTCTTTTTTTCCAGGGACTCACATCTAAACTAACAGCCTTCCCGTTCTTGACTAAAATCGCGTACAATATGCTTACTACGAGGTTCAAATTTAAGCCCCTTTTGAATATTGACGCACATTCTTTCATTTGGGGATATAATGAGACTCTTCTGTCTGCAATTCACGATATCATACCAGGATATATTACATATGATAAGGTTGGACTGTTACACACGGTAAGTATATATTATTTAAGTATTGCAAGTCTAATTCGTATTAAGACTTCTCAAACACAAGGTAGTTCCGTGCAGTTTACATTGACTATTCAAAAGCCGTTCACCTTTTTTCTCATAGTAAATTGCATCGTGACGAGCTATTTGCGGGTCAACTGAAGGTCTCAACTATGAAAATAAGCAATAGTAAGCGAAAAAGTTACTTGTAAACAGCTCAAAACAACATGAGCAATTCACAAAAACTAATATAGTTCATGTCACGTTTAAAAATGGGCAGTGGTTCAATCAACCCGCTCGGGTTTTACCCGGGTTTTTGGTTGTCCCATACAGGCGCGGCGCGTTGTAAAAGGGCTAGACGATTTTAAAATTTTGGAATAAATTTGAATTTAATAACTACAGGGCTTCAGTTGAAAACGAAAACTTCACAGGTTCTCTGTCGTACTAAAAAAGAGAAATATCTCCATATAAAAATTATATGAAAAATTTAGATATTTTATTCTCGAATAATTCGTTTTATTCTTTTATTTAGCCTGTATTAGGATTTGATATGATCGGGCGAAGTGCGTCCTATTGTGCAATACATTAGCATTTTCTTTAGACAATGTCTGAGTAGCACTGCAACTGCTATGGACAGGCGTGTCGCTTACCACCAGGCGTACGACTTGTTTCTTTCCTCACATCTCCCAAATAATTTATCAAAGAATTTTGATGCTGCCCTCTAGCGCTAATAAAATAGTATTCGTGTCAGTCATTTTCACTAACAACCTTAAACGAAAAATTATATGCATAAAATAATAAATTATATGGAGAAAAGAACAGCATGCGTCAATAAAAAAATATTTATTCCAATTATCTATAACAAAATTGTTAGAATTTAAAACTATAATGTTCAGGTATAATAATGTGATCGATATATAGATAAAGAATAGGTAATGTACAACCATACAAAGTTAGTATTTACTTCAAAAGTACTACAGCAATAAAGACGTCGTAACAAAACGGAAAAACCCAAAATAAATGTTACAATAAAAAAGTGTTAAGACAGATAGTGTTACATTGTCAATGTTAATTGACATTGATGGTAACATTGGTGGTAGGATAATAGGACATTGGTGGTAGGATAATAACCCAGAGGGTGACAACGACGTTATCCGCCGGGCCTTAGCCACGGTTAACGTGCCCGTTCGTTGGAGTCGAAATCTTTAGCCCGTGGGGTCCAGCTGCCTATCATCTGTCCAAAATTTTATAAAATCGGACTGTCTGCGAAACTCAAGGGCCCGGCTACCTTGCCCAACGCATTAACGTAGCCATACAAAGAGGGAACGCTGCCAGCATCTTGGGCACCTTACCGCGGGGATCCAATTTTATTCATATAATTGAATCCTAGTTTTACTTTCTAGTATTCTACCTTTCCTCTAATTTGTATTTTGTGTCTGCCCGACACGTGATCACAAAATAAAAATCTACAAAGCTGACCAACTACGCACTTGGTTAAAAAGGAAAACTTCCATCAATTCCTGTAGATAGCCAATCGCGAAGTTCTAGGTTCGAACCGCAGCGAGAAAAATGCTAGCAAACCATCTCACTCTCAATGCGCCAACGTGGCAGACTGTGGCCTGTGCCCTCGCCTGAAAAGATTTGATGACGATTATGATGAGTTATACAGAGCGTCAACGGCTATGCCACACGGAAGTAACATATTTTAAATACCATAGATAGAAAATTTAACTGAAAAAAGACGTAATTTTGATTTTGAAAACAATTCGAACTGCATTCAAAAATGATCGCCTGTCTAAACCGGGAAACGAACCCTTCAAATTTGAAAAGAAAACACCTGTAATTTTATTAAACTGACCGAAAGACTCAATCATAAGGATTATTTTATTCTAAATAACGTAGCATATTAAATAAAAGGAAGACTGATGAGAATGTGCAGGAGTTACAAACTGAACTTAGACGTATTAATTTAAACATTCACCATTAAAAGATAAATAAATCAACTGGAAGCGACTTTTATCAAAAGAGTAAGAACTTGTATCTAGAGAACGGGACACATTTTGAGCAATTTTGGTATATATTGATTGTAAATTGCAGTTAAATGTACCTAATTATTTTGATTAAATAGCTTTCGATAAGTATAGTAAAATTGCAGGTGTTTTTTGTTTGTGAAGGGTTCGATTCCCGGTTCAGACAGGCGATAATTTTTTTTTTTTAAGTAAAATTTTCTGGCTACGGTATTTAACGTATTTTCCCTCCGTATGGCATAGTCGTGAGACGCCCTGTTTAATTGTCGATATATTCAACATGTTTATATGTGCGACTGACCATGGCCCAGCTCTTTTCTTACTGTCAATTTCCGTGCCACCCGCGCTTCCATGAATAAACTGAGTTTTAAAATATAACGTCCTGTGTAATCAATTAGTACACAGTTGACTTAAGTAAGATCGTACAGATAAGACTGATCTATTAACACTTATAAAATGAAAATTATATTTTTTTATTTCTTTTAGTTCTTGGATAACGACACCAGAGTAAGGGTAGAAGTGTCCATCAAAGATGAAGAAAAATTTATGGTGAAGAGTTGGAACGGGTATAGTAAGCTCAAGATGGGAGAAATTGACCCTGAATCATGGTAATTAACAATGCAATCTTATTAAATAATTTTAACAATGTTATGGGTTCTTTCCCAACACAAAATTCAAACTTTTTGGAAATACGCAAAATAAGATTTGAAGTTGTACTTGTTAGTACTGGGAAATAATGACAAAACATTCAGCTGTATAGCCTCAGTCTCTTACAATTCTTAAAAATATAATTTACAAAAACTCACTACAAAGTTACTTTTTTACTGAACTATTTGTTGACCTATCAAAAATTACGTCTCTTTCATTTTCACCAGCTAAATAAGTTGTTATCAAAGACCTTATCAAGACTATGCCGTTTTTTTTGAGAAAGAAAGACATCTAAGTAATAAAGTAGGTTGCGTTTGTAAAAGAATGTGGTGGTTTTCCGGAACGAAAACGGTTCAATTGCTAATCGATCACTTTTTGGTCAATGGTAGCGTATTGTTTTTGTAAAAGCATTTGCGGCGTACATAACGACGCGGGAGTGGAATTTCAAACATTATTAGATAGATTTGTGCCGAATCAGTCCTTAAAGAAAGCGATCGTATCTAGTTCAATCGGTTAACTGAACTAGGTCTGTCTTCTAGTTCATTTAGTTCATCTTGTCCTTGCTCGGACATTGAACGAACGCTAGTTACTTTATTCTCATGAACTACGGACTTCTAATATTATGAAGTCAATAAATAGCACACTGTACTAAACATTTAAAAATACAATTTGTATGGAATGGATACTATTCGATTTTCCTTCATAATTTACAGGTTTAAGAATGTCGTTCTAACTAAATATCCTTATTTTTACAAAAAAATACTGCAATAACGTATATTTTAGTTAGAATGGTGTGTTAAAAAGTCAATATTTAAGTACTACGATTTCATATACACATTGGTTGATATTATACATACAGATAAACTACATACCTACCAAAAAATATGAATACTTACTTTTTTACAAGCTTACATATATACTTGCTTTGCGAATTAGAGACTTAAAACTTGCTGGCAAAGTTCAGTCGTACATCTCACTTCAACTTGTACTAAAAGCAGTGAAAGAGACTCGTAGGGTCGTATTCTAGAACTCTACTCAATGCTCAAGTCAGGATTGCACTGGAAATACGACCCTAATGGCAGGGAATTGAGTATGATTTCGAGTGCTTTAAACCATACTCAAATCCTTTCTTGAGCATTGAGTAGAATTCAAGAATACGACCCTTAGTATTAGTGAGTGTCCTTCGTTTTTTTATGGGTCACTTCCAGGTTAATAACGTTATCGATTATGATTTTTAAAGTTGTTTTCCGACACAATTTCCATTTGTTGATTTTTTTAATTCGGTCACTTTCATTTTGTATGTTCGAATTGTTTATGAAGTTTCTATTTGGAAATTGTCTAAATTTCAGTGAAAAGTGCAACACCCTTGAAGACACTTATGATGGTATAGGATACCCACCAGGTCGAACCAAAGACTTCCGTATCAAACTCATTCGAAAAGGCCTGTGCAGAACTGTAGACATGGAATACAACAGCACCAAAACAATGTATTATGGTGGAGAAGCCATGGTATACCAATTCCGTAAAAACTACTTTGGCATAGATCCTAACAAAACTTATGATGGTCTTCATGATATGTCGGATTGTTATCACGGTAAGAGCACATAATGTTTTTTTTACTATGTTAAGTAATAAGAAGAACTAGTCGTACGCCTATCCATAACAGTTGCAGTACCACTCAGAGCTTTAAATGGCGCAGACCTGAGGACCTGAGAGGTACTGCCGCCGCGCCCGTCACCCAGAGACATAAAGTTGACAAATCCGATATTTCGATATTATGGTGGTATAGTACATTATTGCAGAGGCCGTGAAGTAAAGGATTGCGAGTCAACCAATCTCCGTTCCCGCTGAGGCATATATAGTGCTTTTCTCAAACAATGTGAGGAAATAAAATTACTAAAGAGAGCGAGGTGTATAATACAAGTAAATAATCTCAGTACAGAGTACTAAAAAAACCGACCTCAAAAGTACGTGGAATTACGTCTATTTGCTAAGTTTCATTGAAATATCCCCTAGTTCGCCACTATACAGGACTTGATACTGGGGATAATAAAAATAGGTTCTCACTACGACACTACTCAAAGTATATCGAGAGAAAAACGCCTTGAATTGGAGAAATAGCAAAATCAACTAAATAATTGCTAAAAGTAATTGCTCCTAAATTAAAGTTAGGCGCTATTTATAAAAATGAATCTTCATGCGTGAACAGCCATCCTTTGAGGTGGATGATTTTCTTCAAAATGAAATGGGACCACTATGGAAATACAGGCGGTATTTCCAACAAAAAAAGAATCGTGAAAATCGGTTCACAAATACCGGAGTTGTCGCGTAACATACATACAACAAAAAAAAACATACAGACGAATTGAGAACCGCCTCCTTTTTTGAAGTCGGTTAAAAAATAATAATATTAAAAGTAATATTTGACGTTTTGCTAATATATTTACTCTTGTTTTAAATTAGGCGGATTACAAACCACTGTATATCTTTCATTATCGCTCTTCTCACTAGAACGCATTTTCGCGACGAAAATACAATAAAGACGCAAAAACAAAAAGGAATACCAAAGCATTTTAGTTTATTTTACCGCTTTCTATTTAAAAAAAAATAATGAGCGGTGCAGGGTATTTCTAATTCTCACAATTACGAACACTAGGCTGCACTTTTGCCTGTTTACATAGTTCATTGTTAGTCAATAATGAACGTAACAGGAAGTGAGCGTGCCTACAGCTCCGGTACCTATCTGGAAAATAGGGAGGGTACTGTACACGCATCCGGGGCGGCTCGCCCGAGGCACTAGTCTCGCGAGAACCGGATGAAGTCAAGTGACAGAAGTCTATGACAACCCTGTACACTGGCTGATCGGGGTTGGAACTTGAACTTATAAACTTCCTGTGCGCGCACAGGTTATAGTGCCCTTCTCGTATACCCTAAGGGTCGGTAGGGAGCGTTTCTTATACTACTACTACTATAATCAAAACTAATGTAGGAAGACATGAGGCTGTTAGTCAATAATAAGGTAAATTTAAAAGTTTAGAGCAGTAATGGATTTTCACACTTACTTTGCAAGCCTTGGCCGAGATGAAATCGAATAAATGACAAACTTTCCATATTTGTTTTTTTAAAGAAATCAATGTTTTTACGTAAAAGATCACTGAAAGTAATGGAAATTCCGAACATGTTTCAGAAGAAGTATTTTCATGTTATAAATATTGATTTTAAATGTCTTGAAATTTAACATGCAACACTTGACGGGCCCGGAAACTTAATATAGATAACCAATAACACCTAAGTGACTTCATGTATGATTTACGTTTTCAGGTCTTCCTGTAACTGTCAGTTATCCACATTTCTTGGACGTCGACCCTAAAGTTTACGAACGAATAGAAGGAATGACTCCTAATGAGAATGTTAGAGGTCATATAACTATTGAACCTGTAAGTATCTTAACGTGTTCTTAGGTTCTCAAATGACCTTAATTTCGTTGGTAAGCAATAAACAATTGAATAAACAATCACATTGTCACAAACACATTGTGACAAAAAGTCACATTGATTAAACTCTATTACTCATTCGTAAGGCAAAGTCCCCTGAGAAGAATGAGAAAGAAACTTTAAGGGCGCATGTATTCGACACGAATTTCATAGCACTCACGCGCGGAGACTGCGTTGCCACCGCGCAGTAACCGCGCCAATTTGACTGTCCTATTTATTTAGCTTCTACGTTTTATCTTAAATGTGCGTCTGCCGCGCGGTCGAGTCTGGCTTGAATTTGATCTATGCGGCGGCAGCGCGGTGACCATGCGGTTGTATTATTCAGAAGAATTTAAATATTATTGCCTAGTAAATAAAATTCAAATTCGCCACTAATGTACATGAAAGCGTGGTAACTGGGCGACTCACGACGCAGCGGTGCAAACGCGATATTAGATATTATAACTTCATAAACCATATCCTAAAGGCGCTCTTTTAGTTCTGAATCAAAATTATATTGTTTATGGTACCTACTCGACAATGAGTTGAAGAATTCACATTTATACTAATTAAAATATCAATTAGGACGCTACTCAAACTCTATACTGCCTCCTGTTCGTTAAATTGGCCTAAACGTCTTGAAACCGGGACATAAAACTTTATAAAAAAAATGATTTGTTAAAAATTATACTTGGCCAGTTTTCGTAGAAAAAGTATTGTATACAATCATTACATAATTAGGTCTTAAAATCTCGTACCTATTACTTTGGCCACTCGGCAAAGCCTTCTGGCTTAAACACGGTATTCGACTTTAAGAACTGCATAAAATACTATTGGTGTAAATTAGAGGTGAAACGGAAATCCGGTAACTATCCGGTATCCGGCCGGATATCGGATGTTTAAAACTGAAAAAAAATTACGCCAAATATATTGATTTATTGATTAAACATGATGGTAATAGAACATACAGCACCTATAGGATCGTTGACAATCTGTTTATTGCTTGTAACTGAAAGAACTATGAGATGAGAAAGAAATATGAGTTAGAGTTAACGTTGTCTATAAAATTAATATACTCAAATTTCAAATTCAAATTATGGTGGATCAAGACCAGTTTTTGCATTAAGTGGTAAAAGTTGGTGATATTTATTTTAATGAATAGATCCACCATTGCAATTTTTTTATCTTTACTGTTTGATTTTTACTGCTAACACTTTTCTGTTATGTATTTATTTGTATTAGCGAATAAATTAATCGTTTTTATAAAAACCAGGTGACCACAACAAATCAAATTGTCAACGTGAAAGTGCAATCATTCACTAATTAATCAATCACGGTTATGCCCGCTGTAAACCGGTCGCGACATGTTTACGGCAGTGGGTCAGATATCCGGCGGCTGGATATCCGGCTATCCAGCCTAGGTGCTGCCGAATATCCGGTATTCGATATCCGACCAAATCACTATCCGTTTCATCTCTAGAGTAAATGTTTTGTTTCACTATAGGGTTAAAACTCGGTAAACGGTAAACTTTGATTATGAACTGAAATCTTATCATTGAAGTGTATAATATTATTATTTATAATTTGTGACTTTGTGAAGACGATTGTCAAGAACACACAGTTTTTTTTACTGTAATCAACAATGCTTATAACTTTTTTTTTATAAAATATTACCTTTGAAATTTTTCTAAATGTACTGTAACGTTAATTTCTTTAAACTCCTCTCTGTTAATTTCTTTAAACTGTGAAAGTAGCTAAAGTACACCAATGTGGCGGTTTCTACGTCTGAAAGTTTTAATAAGAAAACATTGTTCCACGTCCATTATAATGTGGAACTGCGACAACCTAAGAATATTTTTTATTACCTATATTATAATTAATACCATTTGTAAATTTTATTCATGAGAGACTGTACATAAACATACTTAGTATTTGTAGGGACACTTTTGAAACCGAAAATAAAATATGATTTGTTTTTTTTATAAGAAAGATGATTAATATGATATTACTTTCTACAGCAAGTGGCACTGGAGGTGGAAACGAAGTCCATGTTGCAGGTAAACTTAGCGCTAAGCGATGTTAGCTACAATCCACAAATGCGACCTTTCGCGAATATGACGCTGCCTACCTCCTACGTGCATATTGTAAGTACTTAATCCTGCTATCCAAGTGCACAAGCCCTATATTCACTTTAGAAATATATAAAACAGCCAATACAAGTTTTATTAAATCTAAATATAAGTAAGATTCTTGTAAAACTGTTGAACAGCAAAACCTTGCTTTTTTTCACACAACGTATTGTATACGTGCCGCAGACGCGCTGTAATCGCGCGTATGTATAGCGCATTTTGATAAGAGATAGTTTTAATTTTAGTTTTGTTTGTTAACTTCATTATGTGTAAACTCCAGCGGAATATATAAGCTTCTTGCTCAATGCGAAATGTGCGCGCGTTTGAATCGATTCACTACAGCGGGTCTGCAACGCGTATAGGCGTAAATGACGCGCGTTCGTGAAACGTGTGTCGTCGGCGCGTATAAAATACGCCTTGTGCAAAGGTTCTAAACGTTGGATGATCGTCTCACGTTTTGAACTATAATTTTATGGTGTTTTATTCTTTTTCAGGTTCAAAATCCCCTACCGAAAGGAACGGAATTCTGTTTAATTGTTATGTACAAAGTCATTCCGTACGTGACGCCAGTGACTGAGATTTTGCTCTTTGTATTGATGATTTACTACTGGCTGAGTTTCTGTATAGCTCTGTATCGCAGATGTCGTCCGCCAACAATTACAGTTTCCATTTTACCTCATCTAGACACAAAAGTTGGAATACCACTATTAAAATAAAATGCGAAAAGTAAAACAATTTTTTTTTTTATTATTTTCATCAGCCTATTAGAGCGATTGTGCACTACGTCCGATTTGCATGAGTTCCGAATATCCGAAGTGTCATTTTATTCTCTAGGTGTACAAGCAATATTCGTTTTTCTCGGATGCGAATCGTACTTAGTGCCGCATCCCGCCAGCAGCCTTACGCAGATTGCCACACCATCTGGCCCGAGGGCGTCCTACAATAGGTTTGCCGAGTAATAGTCTCTGCTCAAGAACTCATTTTCCCCGTCGGTTATCAGTTCTTCGACAGCGATGGCCAGTTACCGTCGCTGTAGCTTCGTCGGTTAACTGTGTCGATTGACTTGGTTCCTTAAGATAATCTCCGAGCTCTTTCCATAGCTCGTAAAGGACTATAGACTAGTGGACTAGCCGCATCGTAAATGTTCACGTATAGGCGGATTTAATTTACCTAAAGTTTGATGGTTTTCTTAATGTGGACATACCCATTTCATCATTAATGTATATAAAATTTCTTTTTTTTTAAATTTGTTTATTTTCTAAACATTCAAAAATATAGGTTGTCTCATGTTAATTTTTTAAATGGCTAAAGCATTTAAATACGTAAGTACCTATCAAAACACAACTACAATATTATTATTTGAGACAACAATTTGTAGCAAATATTTAATAAGAAAAACTAATTTTAAATAGAAAACCACCGTGAGACTCAGACATATTAACTAAAAAAAACGGATAACTCACGTATTTAAGTCGAATTTTTGCTCGACATGTTTCGAACTAATTCGTGGTCCTTAACCATGGGATTCCGCGGCGGTGACTCGACGGAAACTGCGCGCCAAAGCCCTGGCAGCCCGATCACTCAGTACGGCAGCGGGCGCAGGCGGCGTCGGCGAGAATTTGCCCTCGTTTGCTTCATTTTTATTACAGTCATATGCAGAATTGCACACTACGCTAACAACGTTACTTTCTAAAGTCTCGTCTACACTACCCACTGACGTAGTACACTTGTGTGTGTGTTAACTTTGGCAGTCACTCTAGCGGTTGGGTTGTAATTTACCTTCTTATATGTTCTTTCAGCACTCAGTAACTGAGCAATTTTATTTTCATACGCTACCGTATCAACAATGACAGTTGCATTCCCTTTGTCGGCTGGCAACACCAACACCTCCAAGTTATGACGCAGCACACCCAATGCCTTCAGCTCCCCGTGTGGTATGTTAGACTTGGGAGGTCGGGACTTACGTAACATGGAAGCAATATCCTGCCTAATACAATCAGCGTTAAGAGCTGGAATTTTATTCCGCACTATTGTTTCCTCAACGCTTGTGATAATCACCTCAGTAGGTAGTCGACTGGTGGTTTACTACAGTTTACCGTAAGCCGACGCATATTGACCGGTACTGTAGGGCAGATTCACACCATCATCCATGCCATTTATCTTTTATGCCTAGAACATTGATCGGTCGAGACTTAAGTCTGTGTGATCCACAATACGTGCACCTGGAACTAGATTATGTTAAACGTGTAATGGAAAACAACGGCTTATACTGGAGGCATTGCAATCGGTAGTGGAGAGGCTGCCGATATACTTACCTTACATTAAGGTAGTAACGGATAAAATCGGACACTAGTTACGCCGAAGATATAGCATCAAGACGATTTTCCGCCCTCACATGCAACTTAGACAGTTGGTGCGTTCACCGAAGGATAAGGAGCAATTGATTGTTCCCGGTGTAAATAAGACTCCCTGCTCCTGTGGCAAGAGTTACATAGGAGAGACCGGCCGTAACATATCCACACGACTAACGGAACACATACGTAGTATTAAGAACCGGGACAATCGGCGCTCTGCAGTGACGGAACACTCATTGGATTCGGATTCGACGCACTATATTCGTTTTGATAAAGTGTCCGTACTGACGAGAGAAAAGCATTTCATTCCGCGGAAAGTACGTAAAGCTATCGAGATTGGTCGTCATTCGAATTTTAATCGTGATAGTGGAAAACAGTGTTAGATACTACGTCAGTGGTTAGTGTAGACAAGATTTTAGAAAGTGACGTTGTTAGCGTAGTGTGCAATCCTGCATATGACTGTAATAAAAATGAAGCAAACGAGGGTAGATTCTCGCCGACGCCGCCTGCGCCCGCTGCCGTACTGAGTGATCGGGCTGCCAGGGCTTTGGCGCGCAGTTTCCGTCGAGTCACTGCCGCGGAATCTCATGATTAAGGACCACGAATTGGTTCCAAACATGTCGAGCAAAAATTCGACATAAATACGTGAGTTATCCGTTTTTTTTTTAGTTAAAAACTAATGTGCCACCTATGTACTTATATTCTACATAATAATACGCATATTTAAATATTATCAGTTCCGAGAAGTCCCGGCATTTGCAGAAGGGAAAGTCCACGTTAAGACGCACTGGTTGAGACTCTTTGTTTTAATACCCTGTGGTACGAATGCCAAAGAAAGAAAAAAGTAAATAAAATTAAATCGCATGATGTGTACGATAAAAAATAATAAATACAAAATGTCTTTATTTTTCTTCCACCTTTAAAAATATTAATCAACACTACTACTCTCTTCGGAATCGGAACAATCCAATTCTACATCACTTGATGTATCATCTTCGTCTTCATCTTTTTCTAAAAAATCTTTAATTTTCCGAATCGGTGGATGATCATGGACAACTTTCTCGTAGTATGCTCTCATTGGCACAATGGGTAGTGGAATAGGAACTTGTTGAACAGGATAGTATGGCAAAAGACTCATACATGGTTTTGGACAATCACCTCTTGGACAACAAGTCTGGTTACTTCGTGTTGTACCATTGGGAATGTTTGGTACACCAAAATTTGGCTGCTGTAGTTGCTGCTGCGTAAACTGTTGTTGTTGATCTAACTGAAACCGACTTTTGTCTCCAGGCGTATTATGTCCTCCATTATATCCAATTTGATACAAATGATTGACAACATCGTGAAAATTCCACCCTCCAAGTGTCTTCGCATTTATTAAGTCTAATGAAAAAACTTTCTTGACTACTAGAAGTAAAGTTAATAGTTTCATGGCTGTGAGTTGACTACGAGTATAAAAAGTCTGCGCAGCATTTTAAAGTAGAAATAAGGTGAATTATGCAATAATAATTGTTCGTTAATCAATGGAACAATTGTTGCGGCATAAGTTGCATAAATACCTACCTCAGGAAATTGTTATTGATAAGGCTCGTTGATTCTTTAACACAAACATTGCCGAAAATATTTCGCTGTTGCTATGTAACAACAATTATTTTAATACAACGTTTGCGAAACTCGTAAAAATTATATGTTTTTAACAAGTCTTAACATTTTTACATCTGTCCATTTACCAGCCAGAGGCTGGCTTAGAAAGTCGGTATTAGCGTCAACTGTACTTGGAAAACTTAATTTTGTGGTGCATGTGGTCTGAAAGAGAGTTCAGTGGTATCCGAGTTTTACTTAGTTTCATCAGACGCCTGAAATGTTTGTGATAGCTTTTCCCTGAGCGTTCGTAATGTATATCGTCACAGCTTTCGTCTGATTCTTGATCATTCTTGTCTTTCAAAAGTAATATGGGAATTTTCGGATAAGGAGGATATGGGACTATTGCACCAGGTGGTAGTCCCATAGGACCTACGGGCATAGGATACGCTAGCCCGGGAACCGGAGAAGGTGCAGCTGGAGGGATGGGAGTAGGAACTGCCATCCCGTCTCGGCATCTACATCTTAAATGACATGGAGAGCAATACGAGAAAAAAGATGGCGTACACAATGGAGCACACGCACACGGAGGGCATGGCGGACATGGAACTGGTTTGTTCTTAGCCATACAGAATTTTGGCGGACGCAAAGCTGCCATTGCAATTTGAACACCGAATGGAACTGATTGGGGATATACAGGATTGTCTGGACCTTCACAATCGTTCGGAGGTGGAGTGGTAGTTGTGGTTGTAGTCGTTTGTTCGACTTTTACGCGTATAGGTATTCCGATTATTGGTGGAGGTATCGGAAACGGCACTGGCATTTGCGCTGGAGGTGGGGGCAAGAGAGGCGGCGGAAACATAGCAATAGGTACTTCAGGCAGCATCGGGAACATTGGCGCCGCCGGTGGATATGCGAACTGCACGTTGACGGGTGTCAACATTGTCAAAGTTAGTGTTGTTAGGACATATTTCGTATTTTTCTGTAACAAAATGACAGCATAAACAGAAACTCAATTTACTTATTATTATTTTCACTTAATTTTACTTGTTGTATACAACAGATTTTTGAAATATAAATAAGGCTTTGCTATAAAACATGAATGTAAAATAATGAACATTATATTACATTACTTACGATCATGTTTCTGCTAGTTCTTACTACATTGATATGGTCTTAAGACCGTTTTTCACACAATTTATCGAAGTTTTCATGTGCTTTACGCAATACTCGCTTGTTGTACAAAAGAAAAACATATTATGAAACAAATGGTAATTCCTAAATGTAGCAAAGAACCATTAAGCAATGTGATTGGATTTTAGCACAACTTAACTTACATAACATATTAACTTTAAATTAACTTTTGGCCGTGTTGTTCTTCAAATTGGTAACAATCGTATCAAATAGTCATATACGCTACTCTACGATCGCCAACTCTACAGTCAAATGTGATATCATCGCATCGAGTATTATACTCAATGCATCATCATCAGCCCTTTTTTTTAATGATACAAGTGACGAGAAGGACTATCGCGCGTCTGGTGGTGAGCGTCACGCCTGTCCATAACAGTTGCAGTGCCGCTCAAAGGTCACCCTGAGACATTAGTTGACAAGTCCCATTTGCCTGTAATTTCACCAGCACCCTTACCCTTCAAAACCGGAATGCAGTAAAGCTCGCATTACTGCTTGTGCAGGTGGCAGTACTACCATGGGCGAACTCTTGCACAAGGAACTCTACTGCTACTAAATCTATCGCGGTCCATTGCTGGACATAGGCCCCTCGCAATGAGCCCATTTCGCCCAGTAGGCACTCAGTTCGTCGCATCCATTTGCTGCCTTTCGCAAATCGTCACTCCATTTGATCAGACCAGGGCGTCCTACATTAAGTTCACCGAGCCGTGGTCTCCACTGAAGAACCCGCTTCCCCCAGCGGTTATCGGTTCTTCGACAGATATGGCCAGCCCACTGCCACTTCAGCTCGCCTATTCTACCAGCTATGTCGACGACCTTGGTCCTCTGTCGGATAACCTCGTTCCGTACCTTGTTCTTTAGAGAAACTCGTTCCATAGTTCGGTGAGCGACTTTCAACTAGTGGACTAACCGTATCCTGAATGTCCACGTTTCAGATCCGTATGTCATAACAAAAAGAAAGCACTGATTGTAAACCTTCGTTTTCAAACTTTGATATGGATGTACTGGCTTAGGCTATACTGAGTTGAACGGCAGGAAGTCTTAGGTCCTATTTCCGCTCATTGCTACTGGCCACACTAAGGTTAATGTCTAACGCCCATTATCGCTATAAGTGACACCTATAAAATATCGCGTGAAATAGAATGGCTACACTAGGATTTCGGACGTCATAGCAATAGAAGTATGCGTTGAAAATATTATCATTCCAATTTGGAGGTTGCTGCATTTTATTATTTCAAGGGTTTTAATAATTATTATAAAACCAATATTCTATTATAAGTATCGTTCAGTTTGAGACAATTCGAGAAACTCGAACACTTTTTCATTTGAACACTCCATACTTGAATCGTTGCCGAGCGTTCAGTGTCCAATGTGCAGCACACACTGAACACTAATTAAATGTCAGTGTGACCACTACACGCATTGAGCAACGCGATATATCTGAGAAAGACCGCCACCCGAGCTAGCGTCTAATATCTAATGGGATAGTGAATGTCGTAGCAAAATTATCGCGACAAGTCGTGACTATGCTATGAGTGCTTCCAATTCGAGTACACTCGGATTATTTTGACAAATTGAAATGTTAAAAACAAACAAAAAAGCAAAATTTTTCAAAATATGTAATTTGCAGAATACGAAGCTAAGGTTGTTTGTAAATAATCACGAAAGTAAATAATTGTACACTTTCATTAAAAAAAATCGACCTGAAAAGGTTGCTTAGGCTTTTTTCGATTGCCATGTGACAATAGGACTGATATGGAGAGGCTATTGAAATAAGTAGGCGACCAAATTTTAATAGAGACGGAGGCTGGAGCTTGCCACCGATCTGGAAGCCGTGTCTTCATGGCGCTCGCTATGCAGCTGCAGATGTCAGTGGTAACGACGTGGTGAGCTCTGTGTGCTGGACTGTTCCCGACAACAATCCTACGGACAGCAGTAGCGAAGAAGAGTTCCAGGACGCGCTGACGCAACGTATCAGCCTCCCGAGTTCCCCACTGCGGACTGCGTCATCGGCGCGCGCGCAGAGAGCCGCAGCGCGCAGTGCTAGACGTGACGCGGTTGCGAACGTTGCACTCAACCCCTGAATAAGATCATCGATCATGGTCGATACTAGTCGGACCGCTTCCGACTAAAATACTACGCGAGCAAGTCCCGTTACTTTTATATTATAATGTGTGATAACCGTGTTAGTTTTCATAATAAAATAGTCAAAAATTTTATGTAATAGGTGCTAATCATTAGAGACTGGAGATTATAAGAAACCTTTTAAAATAAAACCCTAAAGCTGCTAACTTTATGCAGGAGAGGTCAACTACATGCAGTTAATGTGTGAAATCATTATCAACTTCTTGCAGACGTGATCTCGGTTAGGCCTTAGGCGACTCTTGGACCACAAATTCGTAATGGTGCGTTCAGCGGGGCATTCAAGGTTTGTGCGTACACTGTGTTTTGTGTTAGATATATCCAACACAATTCACACGTAGCGTGCAATGTACTCGCAAACCTTGAACGCGCCGTCTCACTGAACGCACCATCGTTCCGAATTTGTAGCCTTAGGGCGCCTTCAAATTGACTGCCGCGATTCCTTATAAATTAGTGCCGTTCCTTGTGACTACACCAGGGAACATTCCTTTTCCTACCACAATGCTCTTTTATTACACTGTACCTTTATCTGTTTGTAATACTACATCATTAGACTATTGCAGTTCACTGCTAGACATAGACTTCTCCCAATGTGTGCCATATCGCCCAGTCCTCAGCTTGTCGCATCCATGTGCTGCCAGCAGCCTTTTGCAGATCGTCTGTCTGACCAGAAGGCGTCCTACACTTCCTCTCAAGAACTCGTTTCCCCCATCGGTTATCGGTTCTTTGACACATATGGAAATTTATAATTGGAAATAAATGAGTGAACAGATATGTTTAAAGAAAGCAATGAATTTATACATCAGGGACGTGGGGGATGGAAATTCGTAGTCTCTGTATAATCCAGTGGTATACATGCGTGATGTTACATGTACATGAGTGAGTAAGCCGCAACATTATACACCTTTTTTCTTATAGAAACTATTATTAAATAAAGTCAAAACAATCAGGCTAATATTTAGTTCATTTCTTATATAAAAATTAATAATAGAATAAATATATATTTCACTAATTCACTAGGAATGATACGGAAAGATTACTGATTGCCTTATTGCTCTGTGGTCTAAACACTAGTTCCTTCCTGCCTTGATTCAAAAACAACGTGTCGTCGACACCTCGAAGCATCACACGGCGGCTATTCCTGCCCTCAAACGAAGACGGTTTCTCTTTATCAGACAACACTGCTACTTCAGGACTGTTCCTAGAAAACACTTGTATAGATGGATTTTGGCTTAAGTCCTCCGATTTGCTCTCGGCATTCAGCAAAGCTTTGGCTTCGTCTTCCGTAATTCTTTTCGACAATTTAACGTTACCACGCTTGGAAATATAACTTAACATTGGCTTTATTCCATTGTCACTGCCTACCTTTCGGCTGGACTTTCTTCCATTTCTTCGAATCCGTCTTCGATTAAATTTGCTCATTGGTCTGAGATGATGATAATGATTATGACCATGGTCATGACCGTTTCCTGCTCGCCTGTATTTTGTTTCTTTTGAACTACAGTCACTACTAGTATCACTCTCTGAAGACGAACTGCAATCTGGTTCTTTCTTTTTTTTCTTAGGAAAACGAGGCAACGGGAAGATAATAGCAGGTTGAGGAGCCATCGGTATCGGGAATGGTGGAGCGGGCATCGGACAAGGAGGCGGACGAGATGGACACGATCTATTCTTCGTACATAATGGAGGTAGAATAGGTGGAGGCATAGGCGGAGGCATAGGGGGAGGCATTAATGGCATTAAGGGCATTGGCATTGGCATTGGCATTGGCATTGGCATTGGCATTGGAACAGGAAAAGCTATAGCCATGCCATCACCATCATTTGGCCAAAAGCCGTTTGTAGTTGACTTTTTTGTAGTTGACTTGGCGGTTGTTGTAGTTTCCTCTGAGACTGGATAGGGAAAGGGCAACAGGGCAACTTGCACGGGCCCGGGTACCGGTACTGGCACCGGTATTGGAGGCGGCGGCATCGGAAACATTGGCGGTGGAAATGGGTACTGCAAGTAGACGGGCCTCATTGTGACCATAATCAGTGTTATGACTATACATTTTTGCTTACTCTGAAATAAAACAAGTGTAAGGTTAATTATTTCTTTATGTAAAACAGCATTTATAGCAGTTTGATGGCCTAATTTTGTTCTAGTCCTATTTAATTAAGAAATGTTTTTTAAGCAAAGGAATAAATCCAATTATTTATTATTGTTGCGTATATTGTCCCTTTTTTAATTTTTTCTTTGGTTTTTTGAAACTAATATTTACACGCTTTCACAGTCCAATGTTTGCATTTCTTATCAAGCGGAAGCAGTTCATTACACAATACGAATAAGTAACAATGTGAATAAAAACTTACGATCATATTTCAGCTAGCTCTTATGAACTACAGTTAGTTTGAACAAAGCGCACGTCTTTCATGCCTCCAAACGCTTTTCTCGCATTTTATCGTAGCCGTCACGTCCGTTACTTAACACTAGCTCATTGTACGAACGAAAAATACTGATTGCAGCACAAATGGTTATTTCGTAACTTAAATTCAAATTTTTTATTGTGACTGTAAAAAGTTTTACTCTGGACGTCCGCTGGCGTAATATATATAGTACGCGAGTAATATAGCTAATACATTGTAGTTCATGTATTTTTTACTTCCTTCGCGCCCCGCAACCACGTCTCTTGCCTTAAAGTGCAAGACCAAGGTTATTTCGTCCAAGTTTTATTGTTGAAATAAAGCAATTTTTGCTACCTTACTTACTGTTTGAGGTACCTATCGTAAAAAAATTATAGCACGTATCCACCTAGAGGTAAGAAAGTAGCTCTTGAAAGACATATTTTTGTTGTTTGAAGCACACTATAAAATGTCATAACAATGAGTTTATAGAAGAAGAAACGTGGGTTACTAATTTTCTTATTATGATGACGCACCTTTTCTTCATTATTTCTATTATTTCAGTATACTTGTATTCTGAAATTACACAAGGTGTCTCATAAAAAAACATTATCAGTGGACAAATAGTCCACTTATAATGTTTATTACTGATAATGTATATACATATGGGCATTTCTCCAAAGCCGCAATTTTCAGTGTCCAATCACTAAACTCCACTTATTTATCAAAGCAAAAATCTACTAACTGTGTGTAACTGGAGAGATCAAAATTTTCCCAATAAACCTTTCGGACCTTATGAAAAAAAAATCCGAAAGGTCCAAAACCTGACAAAACGGTGGCATGTCCCGAATGCAGAATCCTACACAAAGTGTCATTTTTCTCAAAATTGAAACCCTACTTAATATATTAGACTTTAGTTCACTTATAATATATTAGAATAGATGACAGTACTTCTAATCTGAATTTCACAATAAACTAGACTATAGTTTTATCACAATACCAAGATTGCTGCGTGTACGAGGTAATTCGGTGGTAGTTCCTAATCACACTACACATCAGAAGTGAAGCATTTTAGAAGCTTCAGAATACGTTCGTATTGTTCGTCCATCACGCCCCTGTGGCTGGAAAAAACAGGTGGACAATTTGTTGACGACTTTAGGACTTTTTGCGTGTAAATACGTAACTCGGCGGATTTGGTCCAGGTTGATTTTTGTATTCGGTGTATACGATATTTCAAAAACTAAATTTTGTGGTTGTATGTAATATTTTTTATACTATGTATTGTAACGACTAAAATATAATAACAATTTATTGGTTTTACAAGTATTGTCGTTTACGAGTAATATCAAATAAATGTATATTTTCAGAATCCCGTGGCCTTGGATTCGACGGATTTTATGCCACCGAATTCAGAATGCTTCCACCGAAGTCGGAAAAACCTGCCATCGAAGACATATTTTTTTGAAAAGCATGAATTTTATACGTTTTTTTATCATATAAACATTTAGTTAATACTGTTGATTTTCACAATTTTATATTACTACTTGCTTCCCACTGAAAATCAATAAGGAATATCAAAACAGAAACCAAAAATTGGAAATCAAGAAGATGAAGGAACGCGCTAGAAAAGCAAAGATAAAAGCGATTCGATTATACAGGGTGACTGGTTGAACGAAATAAATATTTAAAGTGGCGAATGAGTAGCTGATACCCATCCCGAATATGTAAAAATATCGCCCCAAAACATTATAAAAAAAATATATCGCACCATTTTACAAATACTAATACTCTGTTCGTTTGAGCTACTCTACGAACAGCTGATTGTTAGGAAAATGAACCGCCCGCCGCCGCCGCCGCCGCGCCGCGCCCCGCGCTACGAGCGCGTGTCAAGCCTCTCTCGTTTAAAATGTTTTAAAAATAATTCCATTTTCCCTTCATACTTTGATTTTGGCTTAGGACAGGCAAAAATACCAATTAAACTACGATAAATTATTTTTTAAAGTACACAATATTTTAGGCAGTTGTAAAACACAAACTAAGCTAGTAGGTATGAGCATGGTTTGGTATTTTTGGCGTATTTAAAAAATGGAATCATACCTATTTACAATAATTAATTTTGATTAAATTTACAAATTTACAGCAATCTTAACAATGTACGGGTGAAGACCGTCTCTGTGTAAGAGTTTCCACACTGTCCATTGTGACACTCCGAATCGTCTTGCTGCATTTCGAGTACTCCGGCGTGTGTCATGCTCAAAGTATTCAAAAATCGCTTCTTGTAAGTCCACTGGATACGGATCGCTTCCTCGCCCTTGAGCATGTGAGGGCACAGTGAACTGCCCAAAAGTCCTCAAAAAAATTGAGTCCTAAACATTAAAGTGTAGGATGGAACTCGCCGATTAGGGAACATTTGCCATAACATAACACCGTATCATGTCCCAATACTCCTCATTTGTGTAGTGATAAGGCATCGTTATGTGTCACTGCACTCCACGGAATTACACAGTTGAATAGACCGATGTATCACGGAAAACAAAGATCGGCGCGGCGGCGGCGGTGGCGGCGCGTGCGTTTAATCGCAAAATCACAACGTCCTGACTTACAGAAGGGCGTAAGCGAACTAACCCGGCGGACGGCGGGACGCGCGGGCGGGATTGGGGTAGCCGGCGCAAGCGGCCTTCAACGCGTAGTGGCGGGGGTGTCTAATGCACATGCGCAGAAGATTTTGTTTTGACGAACGCGGTGTCACGCGCAGAGTAATACAAAATGTTAGAGCCAGTATTTTCTTTAAATAAAAATGTTTAATATTTTTTTTTACATAGTCGTGTTATTTTTACATATTCGGGATGGGTATCAGCTACTCATTCATCTCTTTAAATATTTATTTCGTTCAACCAGTCACCCTGTATATGAAAGGTTTAAAGAAAAAGATAGACAGAGGTATACGAAGAAAAAGCGGAAGGAAAGATTTTAAAGCTGCATGAATTACCTCGTCATGTACAAAAAGTAATGAAAGATATTAATCACGCAAGTTTCCAAAAATTTATTGCTTTTGTGGTTACAGATTATGTTCTAACTTTTTTTAAAAAAGAGGTACGGAAATACTTTGTGTGATTGAAAAAAGGCTGAACAGCCAAACTGTAAACTGATTTTAATTAATAGTCGTAAGATGAAATTTGCTGGTGTTATTCTGGTCGATTTATCAAAAAATATTAGTTTTTGAAGCCTGATTTAATAGTTAGTCATCTTAGTAAATGTTTATGTAGATTATTGAATGTTTTTATTGCCTTTTTTTCATAATATTTTATACAAAAATTACGCCTTTTGTCAAGAAATCCTGATTTCGGTGGTAGCTGAAATCGATGGATCAAATATGTCATTAGGTATTAAGAATCTAAATAGTTGCCCAATTAACGGAATCTTATGTAAGTTTGAGTTCTTTTTCCTTCCCGCTCAATGTTTTTCCTGAAATTAAGAAAAAAAATTCGACCACTGAAGTCAGAGAATTTAGCCCTTCTAGGAGAAGTGCCCATATACAGTTCAGTGGGTAAACATAAAGAAGATCAAAACGCTTACAACGACAAAACACCACTCAGAATATACGCCAATAGTAGTCAATGATACTCCAATTTAACGCGTAGAGAGTTTCAGATATTTGGGCAGCTTAATTATCAAAGACTCCAGGTGTACACCTATATTATTGTTGCACGAATAGCCATAAAAAACAACTGTTAAAATCACGCAGCTTGTCATGCAACAGCAAGAAACATCTAAGTAATTAGGGTGTCCAATTGGAATATTGCACTTTATAGATGTGAAACATGGACACTGATACAAGATAGGGAAAGAATAGGAGCTTTTGAGATGTGGTGCTGGAGGAGAATGAAAGGCATAAGTTGGATAGAAAAGCAACCAATTAAAAAGAAAAGAGGAAGTATTCAGAATGGTAAACGAGAAAAGAACGATCCTGAATGTATTCAGGAGCAGAGTATACACGCGGAAAATTGAACATTTGATACGACACGACAACTTCTTTAAGAACATTTTAGAGGTAAAAATCGAGGGGAATAGGTCGACCTAGGTACAGTTACATAGACCAAATATAAGAAAAGGCCGGTCTCGTGTCGTGTAACGAGGTCAAGGAGCTGGCTTATAAGAGAAATGACTGGAAGATGCTCAACCGACAAGAGTATAAGTATATGTCTTAAGTATATATCTTAAGTTTACTGATGATGATAACGTCCTATAAATAGTGAGATATGTAAAAGAGTTATTTATGTCGTCATTATCATATCTAGTGTGAAAACATACGCAGTTTTAGGAAACCTTAATTTTCCTGATTCCTGAAAGAGTTAGAACTGATATTTTCTTGTTATATTCAAAGACCAACTTTTTACGCCTGATTTCCAGACTATTATTAGAGTTTAAACTATCACACAGAGAATTCCATGAACTGTGCTGTCCACCTTTCCCTATAAATGTAAGACTCAGAGGTGGCGTTCTGTATCTGTCTACAACAGTTAGATTAAATGTCTTAGCTTTTTAAAGGGGAATTCAAATGCCAATGTTAAGAGAACGTAAAAGCGTTTTCTATGAACTCCTAATGAGAAAGATAAAAGAGTCCGTGGTATCATACTACGCAGCATCATCCTGGGTCTTCTCTAAAGGATTGTTTAGGTCATAGTCTACGACGTTGCCCAATGATCTTCGATATGCAGGATTGTTTCACACGATGCCCGTCACCCTGAGACATAAGTTGACAAGTCTCATGTGCCTGTAACTTCACCAGCACCCTTACCTGTGTAATGCTTACATTACTACTTGGCGGTACAAAGGAACTGTTTTACCTTTATTGGAAAGATTGCATTTAATTTTCGTCATCTACTTCTAAGTACGATTAGGTTACTTTCTTGAAACTCAAATGTTTTCACGTCACAAATTATGTCCGTGCATCGTTACGTTAAGACAGCCATTGCCGAAAACGTTGTTCTATGGATTTAGTAAAGACTATCAGTTAAATAAATACTCTTTTATGTACAATATCAAGTGACGGGACGAACAAGTCGTGCGATTGATGGTAAACTACACGATTGACCTTAATAGTTGCAGTGCCACATGAGTGCCACTCAGAGCTTTAAATCGCGAAGATGTGAGGGGCACGCCCGTCGCCTCGAGTAATAATGTCCCATGTGCCTGTAATTTCACCAGCACCCTTACCCTTCAAAACCAGAACCCTGACATTACTGCTTGGCGGCAGTACTTCCCTAGACGAACTCTTTCACAAGGAGCCTCTACTGCCACTAAAAAATTACATGTCCGTTAAGTTTAAAGCTAAATTAACTTATCTGTTATTATTATTGATCGTATCGTTGTTTTTAGAGTTGTGAGGAATAATGAAAATGCTAGATTAGATTATTTTAGTTACATCCAAAGTGTATGTCCTACAAGATTCTCATGTGTGGTAAAGCGACAGATATTACAAACCGTTATTTGTGTTGCATAAACGAGCGATTCGTTCTGTGTACCGTTTAGGTTCTCTGGTTTGTTTCTCTCAGAGAAAAGTTTAAGGACACTGGTATCACGACTATATGTCATCACAGTACATTTACTCAAATATTTTATATGCCCGTAAAAATATACATAATTTAATATCCGTAATATTAACCTGAGTCCAAACTCATAGCACAACGATTTCGTTGAACTAAGGTAAACGATTATTTTATGGGGAGTTGTATATTGTGTTGTTACAATAACATTCAAGATATTAAAATTATCATTTCCTAAGTTCAAAACTTACGTTAAGTAATTTAAAAGTCATATTACAAACTTGAAGACTACATGTTAGATAAAATGCAGGGAAAGACGACATGAGTCCAGGATTCCCATTGACCTTTAGGTCAATGAGGATTCCACACAAATTTGATTCGAAGTGTATTCCATGGGTACCATAACTGTCGAACCATTTTATGATCATACTGCTGTACTTTGTTTGACTCGTACTACTCATTATAATTTCGTGGTTGTTATCATATATGCCGCTAGAGACCGCGTGTTGTTAATTCCGGAACTTTGATCACATTCTACTAATTAAATTGCCGTAATAGTCAATTTATTATAGTTATACAATTAAATAGTATTTATACATATTATATGTATAAATACTGTAGTTATAAAAAGTGCTTGTTTTGAAAGTCATTTCATACACATTTTAATGTTGTAGGGTCGTATTCCAGAACTCTACTCAATGCTTAAGTCAGGATTTGAGCAGACTTGAGTATGATTTCAAGCACTGGAAATACGACCCTAATGGCAAGGACTTGAGTATGATTTTCAGTGCTCACCGCAATACTCAAGTCCTGACTTGAGCATTGAGTAGAGTTCTGGAATACGACCCTAAGTTACCAATTAAGCCGCTAGATGTCAATGCTGCTAGAAAATAGTTATGGTTCTGCCTCCGCGGCCGAACGGTTACCATGCTAGACTGCCACGCAGAGTTCCCGGGTTCGATTCCCGGGTAGGTAGATATATTTGTATGGTCTACATTTATTTCTCTCGAGAATTTGGGTGTAATTTGAGGTTGTCTTTGTGTGTGTCTCCCTAGTGCCGAGCTGTGAGTGTGTGCGTTATTATGTTATTATACTATGTTAAGATTTTAGGCGGGAAACGAAAAAGTGTTTCTCGTGCGCTTGTTTGTGGTTCGAGAAACAAAATGGATTCAAACTAGGTACCGCAGTATCTCCAACGCTTTCCTCTGAATTTGAACAATAATTAAGTTATTTTTGTAGGATATTAAGAAAGGTAACTTTGAATATACGTGAGTATATCACACAAGCTCTTCCGTGTATGTATGTATGTAATTCGGCATCGAAATACAAAACAATATTTTAGACATACTATTTGACTTAGCTACCAAGTAAAGTAGAATTTAAATCACGGCCGTGCTCGTGGTCGTGTTTCAAAACATGAGATTGGAATCAGATTCTGTAGTAACTTAAATTATAAAATCAAAAAATATTTTTGAACTTTTTTTATCATTGTATATAGTGGGCACGGAACAATGAGCGTTTACCTCATCGTTCTCCAATCGCCACAGATTATATGAAACCCTACGGTGTTGCCATGTCCATGAAATTATAATAAAAAACTACTGCTGTTTGTTTGTAAGTCAATGGTTGGTTTAGTAAATATTAAATATTTGACTTGTCTCAAAATTGTCGAGATTCCCGGGTTGAAATGAAAACCCTACACAGCACCTGTCTCGCAACGCCTGGCAAAAGTATTAATGCAAATTATGTATTTCCTGTTTGCTTTGATGATTTTGAGTAGTTATTTTTTATTTTCTAGATTTTAGGTCTAAGTAATTTTAGGTACTATTTTAAGTATTCCTTTATTACAATGCTAGTAAATATGAAAGTAAGCGCAATTTTATAATACTTTTTCTATATTACTAGTAAACATTACTTCGAACCACTTGAAGATTAATTGAAACGACTTCTATGTTTGAATACAAACAAATAAATTTTTCATTGGTAAAAAACATATTTAATAAAATTATAAAAGTACGTACAAAATTACAACACTGTCTTTTGAGACAAAATAATCGTTCTTAACAGGGTCAATCGTGATGATATTAAAAAATATAAATTACTTAAAGAACAACAAAAATAATATTTCCTTTAGTTTTTACCCCTATTAAATTTTGGTAGAATTACCAATTAAGCTTAACAGCCCCGCCTTTAACTTTTTTGAACTTTCTGCGCATCTTGGGTGTTGAAGTCGGAATATTTGAGCTCGTCTCCGCTCGTCTCTCCTTTGCATTATTATCCTTTACCTTAATAAATTTCGGTTCCTTGTAGTCTTCAACTACATTGTCTTCACCTAATTCATGTTTCATGTCGTCTAATTCTTTAAAAGAAACACCATACTCATTTTCTCGCTTTTCGTTCTTACTTAACCAATTCTTTGCTTCCCCCTTGGAAATCTCCTTTTCGTATATTACGTACCCATCTTTAGTGACATATTGTATCATGGGCGTCAATAACTCTGCATTGTTGACATTGTTTCTTCTATAGCCGCCACCAAAACGTCTGTGAGCACGTTTACGTGGTCTTCGTGTCTTCAGAAATTTATCTGGTCTCCAGAATTCCGAAGAATCATCACCACTACTATCTAATATATCATCAGAGCAGTCATCTGAGTCGAAGGGATCTTTCTTTTTTGATTTTTTCTTTTCATCATCCTTTTTTCGCACTGGATCAGGAGAGTAAAAAGGCATGACTATAACTGGCATCTTTTGAGGGGGCACGCCAGCGATGGGTATAGGACCCATAGGTGGTACAGGTATTCCTGGCGGGAACATGGGGGCCGGAAATCCAGGAGGAACTGGAAATGGCATTGGTGGTGCTATCTTATTAGGAGATGGACTCTGGAAGATAGAAGGTGGGTAGGTAGAACTCAAAGGTATCGGCACAGAATTAAGCGATTGTCCATTTACCATTCTACAGTGCATGGGTAGATTCTGAGGGAAAAACGCAATGCTAGTGGGGCACGGGGGTAATTCTACATCCTTTGCGTATATTGTTTGAAAGACGACTAGAAAACAAAGCAAAGAATTTTTCCTGTTCATTATGATCTGAAACAAATTATTAATGATTAAAAAAAAATTAACTGTACAATTAAGCACAACGAAAAGTAATGTTACTTACTACTAGACCGATAGCACATAGTGTAATGCGACCAAGCAAAAATCCAAGCCATTTATGTAAACACTTTGGCAGCTTTGAGAACTGAAAAAACAATAAAACTTTTGGCACCATTTGCGTTGCATGCTAATCTTTATGTAATCCTTCAACAATGGGTTTGATAAGGATTCTTGTTGGTTACTCTATACTAATTGAAAAAAATCATATTTCAATGTACAGTTGTTATAAAACAAAACACGCAAATCAACCCATTTTCCCAGATTCACAACATCAAACTGCACATGATTTAACTAAGTTTAAAACTTTTTGCAAGTTTTTAGTTATATAATAGACTTATGTACTACCCGTAACTGTAACACCATTGTGTTGTAACTAGCGAGTACTAAGTATTTATAGTGTAACATTTCAAGTTTAGTTCAAACGAGTTAGAACCTATGTCACAGAATCATGTGTCCGACATAAAATCGTATACTACAAGTACCTGCTTATTTCATAAAGGTAAAATTAAATGTATTATTTATTTCTAATTGTCTCATGGAGTATTGCACTATGTAGGTACCTGTTACGTGACTAGTTTTCTTTAATTTCCAGATGCGGTGCATCACAATCGCATTCCACGCGACCGCGCTACTACATGCCGCCACGTCAATATTTGCACAATTTATGCCTCAAATGCCATTTCCTCCGCAAATGCCACAAGTGCCACAAATGCCCCAAATGCCTGGAATGGCTTTGCCACAAGCAGTGCAGACTCTGCAAGGACAAGCAATGCCTATGGGCATGCATATGAACTTAGGAATGCCGATGGGCTTATCGAACATGGGAATGCCACAAAAAATGCCAATGGTTATGATGCCTTACCACTCAAAGAACCAAGACAAGAAGCGTAACAAAAATAGGAAGAAAAAGAAGAAACGTCGCCCAAAAAAGTACATGTACAAATCGGAATCTTGTTCCAGTGAAGCAATTTCCTCGTATGATTATGCAGACAGCAGCAATGATAGACGATCTATTCGAAGACGATCAATGAGATCTGGACACAAATCCAAAGACAGTAACAAATTAAGGAAACGTCCCGAAGTGCTCACTCCTATAATTTCTTATGTGACAAAGGACGGGTATGTTGTTTACCAGAAAAAGGTAAAGAAAGATAAAGCCAAGGATTGGCTGGAGATTGGACAAAAGCCATCGAAATCAAAGTGGTCAGAAAACGAAGACAGCAGCGTTGAAAGGTTAGTTATTGGTGGCAGTGAAGAAAGAATAAAAGACGAAGTAAAACGGAAATACAAAAAAATACTGAAAAATAGGGATTGAGAAAATAAACCTCGAAGTTGGTGTAAATAGATGTATATATAATTCGCTATACAATTTTTGTACATTGGTTGCATTGGATAAATATATAAACATTTAGAGTAGTTATGGAAATATTTATTTTTGCCAGTTCACCAAATTAAAATACACATTTTGTGGAGCAAACGAGTAAGTTAGAACATACAATAGTCATTTAAAGAAATAACAATTTGGCGTTAAGTAATAATTAAATTAACAAATTTAATAAATTTTAAAAACTTTCAACGTTTCAAATTAAGAAACTGTAACAGTTTAACATTAATGAAATGAAACTTTAATAACGGGTGTTTCGTGTTTTAGCCACAGTTATAAGCCTCAATTGCTATCGGATCAAACACACAAAGTGATAAACACTATGAAATCTTGATAATGATTAGTCATAGTACCTAATTTAAAAAGATGTAACAAATTCTGCTTTGTTAATACTATTTCAACTTTACCCACTCGCTATATCGTTGAAACCTTTATTGCAAATTACGACGTTTTGATTTAACATTGAAATTTCATTCAACGTGCTGCCATCTTGCGGCCAATTGCTTCAAGGTGCTAATTTCAGTTAATTGCAGAGACGTAAAGATTCTCCGAAAATCGCTTCGAAAGACGGGGGTAAGGCGCAAACTTGACAATGTCCATGATTGGGTCAGGAACAAAAACGATATTGTCCATTTCAACCCATCACAGCGCGTTTTACTTCATACTCGTAGATTCAATATCCCTTTCGGACAGGCTCCGAAACTACTTGGAATTTCTCCGAAAAAAAAACTTGTATCTACCTGAAATTGACCTGTAGATGACGAATCTGAGGTCAATTTTCCATTATCCTGCCGCCACATTGGAAAAAAATTTTGGCCCGCACAATTGTATTAACTTTGAACCTTTATAACAGGCGCGCAATTGTGTAGGAAACAGGATTGTATTTAGATGGGCCTTCAATATATATTTGAGTAAAATACAACAACAATAATTTTGTTATAATTATTATTTATTGGTGAATAAAATCTTAAGACATTTGTTACATGCAAAATCAACAAACAGTCTTACAATGAACCTATTATAATAGTACTTTTTATCATAATAAGTCTCACCGTGTCGTCTTGTGTAAAATATTTCTCAAAATATGGAGCAGGTGTTCCTACCAAATTTATATTAGGGAAAGACCTGGCATCGACACTTCTTCTTCTTCCATCGGTGCGTATTTAGAGATACGTCATCAACAGACTCGTCTTCCAATTGTGAGGATGAGCACCCCTCAGCATCACAATGTTCCTGGGAGTTTTTGTTTCAGGTGTCGAAATCGTCTTCATGTCTGCCCTCATTATCGGACCCCGATCACAAAAGTTGTACTTGGGCTCCGGTCCTAACAATTGTGTTGAAAAAAATCGTCAATATTTTTTTGCAAGCTAGCTAGTTATTAGCGTGATGTTTTTGACTTAATCATATTAAATATTTAATGTATTATTGCGTTTAGGTGTTAAAAAATAGTATTCCAAACGAAAAAGCATAAATCAGATACGATCCAAAAAGGTGAGCCCGTTAAAATCCGTCCGAATTGATGTTTGATGCTCTTTTTATGCACTAATTTCAAATGCAAGGTAAAAAGTTCGTCTAACGCGCATTCGTGTGACGAAAACCCCATTCGGATAGGTAGAAGAGTTTCGTTAGGAAAATTATACATAAAAATCAATCAATTCTGTATGGCCAGGTTCCAAAGGTATATAGCGATTGTAACTTTTTGTAATGAGGTTACGCTTGAAAGTTTTATTGTTTTGTCTATTACATCCTTTGAAAATGAAAGAAAATGTGCAACCAGTTTGTTAACGTTTTATGTAACGTAATGGCGATCCAGGAACATGGAAGACAATGAGTATATAACCAGAAATGGAGACGAAAAAAAGGCCATATATTCCTGGTAACACATTAACGGTACAGCTCTTATAAATATCAACTCTCGTTTGCACTGAAATATAGACAGGCCAACTACTGACCTTAACCCTGACTGATTCCAAAAAATATTCTGTATTTATTGTAAGAAAAATAATATCTCTAACAATGCCGTGCTGTTTTATTCGCGGTGTGGGAAAAACAGCAAAACATCTAATTACAAAACAAACGGAATCACATTTCATCGGTAAAGAAATATGTAATTTTGCAATTATCGTCCATTTTAGCAAAGCTCAAGTTAACTGGTCGATTTGAAGTGAAACAGTTGACGACACCCGTCAATTGTTTCGAACTCGGGCTGGCCAATCGGAGCGCAGTTGTCACAGTAATGATATGGCAGAATAGTTTTCAAACAAATTAAATGACATTTCGTCTCTATTTCTGGTTGTATACTCGATGATGGAAGGGAACCCTCGAAAAAATGGAATTGTGAGTTTTGAACTAGGCCAGATTTTCAATATCGTTGTTATCGTAACTTTTGATGGATCCCCTAGTCCGTTTAAAATATTATTTTGTCTATTACATTTTCCTTTGCACATGGGGATAAGTTTCTCCGTAGAGTAGAAATTCGGACGCCTAATACCTAAATATCACACAAGTACAGAAGCGCATCAAGCAAAAGATGAACAAGCTTGCAAATCACTTTAAATTATACTTTGATTTCTAGGTGATTTTGTTTAAATCATAATCTAAAATTAAAATCATAAATCTAATTTCAAACACATAACGTAGACTTTTAATGTAAGCTTTTCACAAAAAATACTAATATAATATCTCAGTTCATTCGTCAATTAGATACCTACTTGTACTTGGTATAGAAAAATAAACAAGCATGGTTCGACAATTTTCTTTTGTTAAGATTTTGGTTGATACTAATTTAGGTCTTTTACCTTACTACCAAATTCATGAAAATGGCGGAATCGTTACACGCAAAAATGCCATATTCCCACCTGCTATGATGCGTAGTCGATATACCCACTCATTACAAGGAAATTATTTTATTATGGTGTTACCATTTGTTTTTGGTTCGCCTTTGTTTAATTTTGCAAATTGTAATTTTTGTGACTAATTTAATTATGGCAAGATGTTGAAACGAAAAGATCTCGTTTTCTCGATTTGGATCCTCTAGGACAGAGTCGACTTTGTTATTTAAAACAAAGAAAAATTCCTTCGATCTGACAGGGCGAACCCGCATTTATATACCATCTAGGGCCACCGCTCTGAGGTTCGAGGATTAAATACAATTTTACTATGCGTAACGTTGTTATACAACAATGGTATATAAAAGTTATGTAGACTAGAAGAAAACAGTTCACTTTACTCAGTATCGCAGTGGCAACCATGCAATGAAGAGTTGAAAAAATTTTTAGAAAGATTTTTCTTTTTTGGACCAGGGCCATTAAAATTATTAAGGTATGCAAATTAATGTAAATAAATAATTTCATTTCTATTTTTCAATAAGTTTTGGTTACAAAGTAAAAATGATATTACTAAATAGGTACTTATTACAAGTAAGCTCGTTTACAAGAATGTAGGTAACAAATCTATTACCTATAGACAATGTGAACGTAATAGGAACTTGTTTACTTTTTAAATTTTTTTAGGTACTCACGGGTGGCATTAGTACTTACCAATGAGACAGCAATAAAAAAATGTGGTACAAGATATAAATATACTATTATGTATTTATTATTCTACACTAGCCTTCCAATCTCTGTGTTTAGTTATTAATGCCGACTATTTATTTCCAGAAAATGAACTTCAAAATAATTTCAATAATAGTGGCCCTCACGTTAACATTAAGCGCGGCAAATCGTAGATTGCACAACGGTTATTATAGAGGTTCTTGCATCGACTGCAAGGAGCCAGAAAAGCAAAAACCTAAGCAATATTGGCCATGGACACCTGGACTGAAGCTGGATTACCCTGATTACATATGGCCTTTATTTTTCAGTGGGTAACCACAATATGTTTAAACGCTTGCCCACTCCTAGATATTTCACTAATATAATTCCAATGATCATAAATACGTAAAAAAATAATAATTATCATTTCCTTAAAATAACCCTGTCAAAATCATAAGATTTAATTTTACTTAATATATATTAGTTGAGAGTAAATAATATGTCTTGTTTGAACCCCGGGGAAAGTCAACCAATTATTATTTAATTATATTAATGGAGCAATAAACATTTTTGACGTAATTCCACTTACATATGTCATTCTTCCATGAGGGGTGCAAAATGTTGATATTGTTGTTCTTATCGAGTTCTTAGGTTTTCCCGATTGTTACGCAAAGGTAATGAAACTATTTTTCCGGATTTAAATCGCGAATATTTGTTTTTTCAAATAAACCGACGGTTCGGGTCCTTTACAGGTCCCATGGTCACGGTTGACATGGGACTTGTAAAGGGCTCGAAACGTCGGTTTGTTTGAAAAAACAATTATACGCGATTTAAATCCAGAAAAATAGTTTCATTTCCTATTGTTGTTCTTATTTAAATTGATTAAACCAGATTAATAAATAATTTTAGAGCAACGCCTTAAGTTAAACCATTTCAATGATGAGATGTCAACAAAATATAATATAATCATTCGTTATGTGTGCTTTTATAATTCATATGTTAGAAAGGTCATGTTTACTCACGGAAGAAAAAATACAATGGTAGGGTCTTTATTAAATCAGAACCGTTGTTGTCGCCAAAACTACTCACACTATTGTAATTGTAAACACTATGAAACCTTAATGATTGGTTATACTTCTAATTTAAAAAATGTAATAAATTCTAGACTATTAATACATTTTAAACTCGGGAGAGTTGGCATATCATTGAAAGTTCAATGCCTATTATTGCAAGTTACGACGTTTTGATTTTCCAATGAAGTTTCACACAATGCGCTGCCATCTAGCGGCAATGGCTGTAAAACGACAAACGATAATGCCTATTAAGATTCTCCAAAAAAAAGTCGACCATATTATTATTCTTATACAGAAAATGGATAATCTCAGTACATAGTTCTAAAAAAACCGACCAGGACCAACAGAAAAAGTCATCCATAATCTTATTTGCCACCAATGATGTTATATAAACAATTTGCCACCCTTAGAGTACCCTACTGAAGTACCCTCTTCCCAACAAAAAAAAAGAATTATCAAAATCGGTTCACAAAGGCCAGAGTTATCGTGTAACATATTATACAAAAAAATATACAGTCCAATTAAGAATAAAAATATTTTTCCGGATATTTTTCCAATATTATTTCTTTAATTTTCCACATTTGACGTTGACAGTTATCAAAAGTTGAAGTTTCTGAACGCAAATACCATGGAGCCATTGAAAAGGTTGTTTCGCTGCTATGAAATCATTTATAGAGATAAAACGGATATCCGGTAACTAACCGGAATCTGGCCTATCCGGTCTATATTTACTATCTGGCCGGATACCGGATAGTAGAACATTATCTGAGCGGATACCGAATGTTGAAAAATTTAAAAAAATTCATAATCAGTACGCCAAATAAGTTGATTTATTGATTAAAGATAGTAATAGGATAAACAGCAACTACAGAATCGTTGACAATCTGTTTATTACTTGTAACTAAAAGAACTATGAAGTCAGATAACGTTATCTGTAAATTTAGTACTAAAATTTTAATAAAATCAAATTACGATTTTTCTACTCTAAGTGGTAAAAGTTGGTTCTATTTATTTTCATAAACGAGACCAGCTTCAGAGGAGTTTTTCACTATAAACTCTTGATAACTTAGTTAAATTTTAAGTACTACTCATTTGAACTGTCTTCAAATACAATGTATTGTATATGTATATGTATGTATCTTATTTTCCTTTGGCACAACAAACTAACAGCACTGATATTAACATATTGCCAAAATTGCGATTTTTTTTCACTGTTAACATTTTTCTGTTATATATTATCGAACAAATTAAAAGTTTTTTTATAAAAACCAAATGACCACAACAAATCAAATCATCAATGTGAAAGTGCATTCATTCACTAAATCAATCACGGCGGTACGCGCTGTATACCGGTTGCGAAATGCTTACGGCAGTGGGTATGATATCCGGCTTTCCGGCCTAGGTGCTCCGCCGGATTCGTAGTGCTTAAATTCTCTTTGGCCGGATTTCTGGTAACCGACTGCCGTGTAGCTTATCATCAGGCGCAGGACTTGTTCGTCCCGTCACTGGATATTATAAAAAAGTCACTATCCGTTTCATCTCTAATTTTAAATCTCATTTTTTTTCTAACCACCGGTTAGTGGCTATTATTATTTATATTGTAGCTATTATTATAGCTAAAAAGCTACAAGTTTATTTTATAATTCAAGATAAATAAAACTTCAAAAGATATTTCTAAACGAAGAACGAAGAGCCGTGGAAATTATATAGGCACAAAGTAGTGGTAAAGCCATTAAAGAAAAAAAAGCATTCATTCATTCATTCATTTCATTTTTTATCGGACGACATGGGAGTTTGTTGTGTTATTGAAAATAAATTTTAGGTCTGTGATTAGTCTAGTGATATTAAAGGTTCTGTGCATTTATTACTAGTAAAATAACGTTTTCGAATGCGATCTAAACTTTTTCAAGTGGAAATAGTGGGTGATAGTTAAGTGTTGTACCGCAGCTGTGATCGAATTTTTTTATTAAAACATGTTTTCGTACGCCGGATAAAATCATCTATGTTTTTTATCTTGTCGGAATGATGGCAAACGACAATGATTGGAAGTCGAAAGTGGGCTTCACGATCAACTACGACAGTTCAGAAGAAGACCCGTAAGTAAATAATTACGTAAAAACTTTTTGTTTGCTTACGATGTACAACCTTTCCTGATAACTCCGATTGCACGCATAATTATCTTCATAGCGAATTTTTGTCGCTTTTTACGCTCTTTAAAACGCTGTGCTGTACATAAATTTTCAGCGTATTTGTTAACTGTTTGAGATATTTCTTATTAATTTAATTCTATATGTGAAATTCCATCGCAATCAAAGGTTACAGGTCACATTAATTTTAAATGACACTAAGTCAACTGCTGTTTATCTTTTGGGTCAATCCGTAGTGACGCGTGGGACTTTTATACACATTTTTCTACAAATTTCAAAGTGTAAACATGATTCTGTAGTCTGTATTAACGTTAGCGTAAGTAGTAGTTTTGAAATGGTACACTATTATAGAAAAAAAGTAGATACCATTATGCGTTTTCTCACTGTGGATAGACAGACACCATGAACATCCACTTGTCAAGCCCTTGGCCAACATCTTTTGTCTCCTACACTCACAATAGTTGGATGAGTCTGCGGAAGATTTTGCGGAGCGACCTTGGCAGTTCACATTTGGCTTTGTAGTTGGCCACACCAGAGCATTGTTGTAGGACCCCTCCAACACACTTAAAGTAGCATAGAGGGTTCTCCTAAATGAATAGTGATTATTATATGCACTATGATCCGGTGGCAGTTAAAGTGTTTAGCTTTCTGATCTTTAGAAATTTTCATAATAGGTAGGCATTGAGCATTGAGGTCGCTTCTCTAGTTCTGTTTACAAACTGTAAGAATTGTCCGGGTATTGTTATGAGAAGTTTTTGTAACTTTGTGTACGGTTGCTCTTGACTATTAATTAATATAAGAACCCACGGGGTGACTGGCATTTGTTTTTAAAAATAAAACCGGGTGACGAGTTTCGAAGAATCATTGGTTCACTGGTCGGAAAAGAATGAGTTGCTAATTAAATTGAGCGTCAAATGTTTTCTATTTGTCTTTGGCCAGCGACTGGCTGCTCACGAGGCCGACACGACAATAATCACTCGTATTTATGCAGATTGACAGTTTCGGACATTCATTATGTGCCTCCATCGCGATCAAATACAGTTAATTATTGTTTTCAATTACCTGTTTCGTGTGCTTATTTTCTTACGTTTCCTTAGGACTTGTCGTTAACAAATTACACCTGTTAAAACAAGTTTCAACATTTAATACTTATCTCCGATATCGGTGTGTTGTGGGAATATGAAATAATTTAAATTATTTAAGTTTTTGTTTTCTGAACGAGAGTCCCGACATAAAAAGGCATTAAGGCCAGATAGTAAGGTTCATCTGTCATCATTAATGCCACGGTATCCTAATAAGTTTGCTACAATAAATAAAAAAGGTGTATCAAAGAGTTGCGGCTCTTTTAATGGTTGTATTCTTTTCTGGCCAAAACGTCTAATTGTGATGTGTGATGTCATTTGTATAGCCTACTTTTTAAAATGTATTTCTTGTTCAATACACATACTCATTATATAGCAAAAAATTGCAAAAATAATTCCTAATCTTTAACAAATTATTATTTTTTCAATTATTGCATGTGGGGACCTACAATAATAAACAGGGGTTTATCATAGTGACAACTGGATGATATGTTTCAGAGGTCATGTTATTGTTACAACTGTAATAGTGAGAAGATAGTGGTTAAATCTATTGCACTGCACAATCTGCTAATATAGTATTAACTGGTTTAATAGATTAGTTAACAGGCCTTGCCATATTCATATTGATGATTGAGATGTGTATTGATGTCTAAAAAACCTTATTTCTCAAACAAAAGAATTTAATTTTTAATGTAATCAGTGTTCTACAAAAATTGAAAACTTTTCTGGATTTGAGATTTTCACAATTGTTTTACTCTTTGCAAACTATTTTTTGGATCTAAAATTGCATATAAAAAATCTAAAATCTAAAATTAAAAAATATTTGATTTTACAGAATAGCTATCGAATGAACAACAGGCTTATTCAAACTTTGTTATTACTTTAATAAAAATACACAACACGACCATTGTTTTACCGCCTCTAACCTGACAAGCCTCTTTCACATCATCTTGCCACAAGCTCTTTATACATGTTAAAAATAAATTTCCAAAAAATTTATAATATTATTTATTAGACTGACCAATCAAAACGCTAATAATAATGCACACACTCATTGTCCTATGGACATTAGATGAGGAGATTTTGTGTTCAATTCTTGGTGTGACCATTTGGAAAACAAACTTTCTAATTCTGGACTACATGTTCTGTGCAGCGAGTGCCCTGAACTCAATTTGATTGCTCTGGATGGCATTCATAGTACAGGGGCCTTACCATGAACTCTTATTATGATTCCGCTTAGGACCTAAAATGAATCATTGTGAGACAGCGCTATATGAAGAGTATCTCACCATCCCGCTTTTTTGTCATTGTGAACCTGTACTGAACTGTAATAAGAGTTCCTTGTAAGGCCCCAGACTATTCTCTAGGTAATTGGTGTTGTTTCCCCGCACTTTATTAACAATTTTAAGGTGATTGTGCAGTGTCTTTGCAGCCATACATAGTTTCAGTAATATTTTCTTAAGTCTGATTGTCCCATCAGTTGAACCTGAACGATGTACTTATTGTAACGGGCTGGTGTCCGCAACTTGACGACAAGGCGCCTATTTGAAACTGAAGCCATAAGTACACTCCATGTATAGCGCCACATATATGAATTCTATAGCGACCAAATTAGATGTAAAACACCAATAAGTAAAAAACTAGCCACGCAATTTAAACTCCCATTACATATACTTTGTATAGGTAATTAAGATAATCAATGCATGAAAACACAGTTAAGTTTCAGATATTAAGTAATCAGCACTATCAGTTGTTATGGGCACTCCATTATCACAAGTGTAAACATACCTAAGTGTAATTAGAAGGTATCAGTTTTCCGTCAAGTGCATTTGATTGTAGGTTATGGTGTATTATGTTTCAGTTCTGCCGTGACCAAGTTAATGGAACATTGTGATATCTTTGTCATTTCTGTTTGAAGTTTTTGTAGGAAACACATGGCTTAGGAGGCTTTCTTTATTAGACCATCCTAGCCATTCACTACAAGTAATTTAATCAAGCGTGCCTCAGTCCATCACCCGGCCAGCCAGCATTAAAGCAGGTTACAATAGTAGCGTTCCTTTATAAAATGATTTGAATGTCCAATTGTTAGTGAATACTTTTTGTGTGTTTGTCCAATTTAAGTCTTCTTAATCGTATGTTTGTTGGTATTTTGTCTGTTATTTTCTCTTTGTGTGGTAAGCATAGAAGATTTATTTTGATTTAACATTGTATATGGACATAGTTATGCAAACTAGAACCAACCCACAAAATGTAACTTTCGAGATAATTATATTTTTGTAAAAACAGTGTGAAGAAATAAATAGGTAATGTGAGTTATGTGTAGCATTGAGAATGATACTACTTGGTACTTGGTGCAACGGGCTGGTATCCGCAACTCGACAACAAGGCGCCTATATTGCGTATTTTGGTGGATGCAGGGTCCTACTCGTGCCACCCAAACTCGTCCAGGAATCTCAGCAGCCTCCTTGGTTTGCTGAAGACTTCGGGGAGCGACCTTGGCACTCTAAGGTACTTCGCCCTGTAGTTGGCCACGCCGGAGCACTGAAGTAGGATGTGCGCAGCCGTTTCCTCCCCCTCCATGCACGCTCTGCAAAGAGGGCTGTCTGTGATACGTAAATTGAAAAGGTGTTTATTGTACGGACCATGACCCGTTAGGGCGGCAGTTAGTGTGCGAAGCTCTTGCCTTTTAAGTTTAATTAATATTCGAGATAGACTGGCATTGAGCGTTGGGAGTGCTTTCCTCGCCTGTCTACAAACCGTAAGGGTGGTCCATGTATTATTATGTGAAGATTTTGTACCTTTGTGTATAGTTGTTCTGGACCATTGGTAGGGGAGGGACACTATTGGTTCTGGTCCTACAGCATCCGTCTCCGACCCTTTTCTGGCTAGTTCATCTGCTGCGTCATTGCCACGTGAGCCGCTGTGTCTTTTAATCCACTGTACAGTTACATGGTTTTGTATACATACCTCCATCAGTGCTTGATGGCATTCGTAAATGAGCCCTGAGTTTATGTCATAGCTATGCAGTGCTTGAAGTACTGACATACTGTCGGAGAGTATTTGAATGGAGTAATTCTTTACTCTTCTCGCTATGATTGCTTCTGCCGCCAACTTGATACCCATGCATTCAGACTGGAATACTGTGTTGTGGTCACCAAGCGGTGCTGATATCCTGATATTGAGGTCTTCTGAGAATACTCCAGTACCTGTTCCTGAATTTGTTTTAGATCCATCAGTGAAGACTCGGACCTCTCTGGGGTTCAGTCCTTGGTTGGGATCTTCAAACAATTGTATCTTGTATTTTTTGTCAAAGATGTATTGTTTTGGGATCCTATCCACAACCGCTTCCAGTAGCGGTTCCTCATTCACAGTCTTATAAAGGCTTTCTGTATGTGGGTCCTCAAGTGCTTCCAAAGGCCGGCTCTGTTTAGACGCACTGCTGTTGACGCCGCTTCCTGTCTGATGAACAGTGGGAAAGGTCGCAGGTCCAGGATCGCTTCGAGGGCCGCAGTTGAAGTTGTCCTCATGCAGTCGGTCGTCGCCATGCAAGCGAGTCTTTGGAATTTGTCCAGCTTGTCGGTTGCGGTCGTCAGTTTGGTTCATGGCCATCATAATATCGCGCCGTAACTGATCATGGATCTTATCACCGCTGTGTAGAGCCATAGTGTTATCTTGAGAATGATATGGGAAACTATTATATTATACAGCAACAAATAGAAAACATGTATCCAATTTCATAGAATATGTTAGAATTTATTCAAAAATATTTAAAAAAGTATGTGTAGCTAAGGTTAAGTTTCACAGCGACAAAATTAGACAATCGATAAATAAGTCTAAAACTACTTGGAGCATAATAAATAAAGAGTC